TAAAGGATATGCACCACCTTCCACCACCAGCTTTATGCATCACCAAGCTTACGCTCCACCAGCTTACTCTCCACCAGCTTTACTCTCCACCAGCTTATGCTCCACCAGCATACGAGCCACCAGCATACCCAAGCACCCGCTTACGAGCCACCCAGCATACCAAGCTCCAGCATATGAAGCACCTGCTAAAGGATACGCACCACCTCCACCACCAGCCTATGCACCACCTGCATACGCTCCTCCAGCATACGAAGCTCCAGCATATCAAGCACCAGCCTACGAACCTCCTGCAAAGGGCTATGCTCCTTTACCTCCTCCTCCTGCCTATGCCCCACCAACATACGAAGCTCCCGCTTATCGACAAACTCAAGGTAAGTGAAAATAATTCTTAGTAAAGATCAAATTTAGTTTTTTATTTATTCAGTCTTAGCCCATACTTGAAGTAGAATAGTTCAGTCAGTCTTTTAGTTTTCTTTAGTCATGTGTTATCGATGCGTTTCAATAGCTATGTATAATTACTACGTACAATTAATATAAAGCAAGAAAAATGAACTTTAACTTTGATCAAACCTGTTCCATGTACAGTATCTGGTCAAGATAGGCAAAGAACCATCAATCCACAGCTTGAATTTATACAGTCAGCCGAGAAGTTCTATCGAACTTTTCCAGGCTTGTTAAAGACCGGTTATTTCCAGACGAACAATCAATACAATTCTGACGGCATTGTGACGCTTTCTTATTTGCATTCAGGCCGATCCACTCAACTTAGATATGGTAATTCATTTGCTTCTAACAATGGACAGCAAGCACGAAACCCATCAAATTCTCAAAGAGGAAATTCTCAAAACCAACGAGGTTACAACATGAATCAAGCTTTACCACAATCTAGAGCAGCTCGACCCAACATGTGGTCACAAAACAGCCGAGGATCTAGGATGTCTCAACGACAAGCAGCTTACCCTGTTGGAAGTAACATGCTCCGAAGTAAGTGATTGAAATAGTTAAATAACTTTCTATTTGTTCTAATGAAATCTTTTCTTGATTATTTTCAGACGAGAGATTTGCACAAGCTTCAGAATTGAGAGGTGTTGTAGAGTGTGGTCTCCAACAAGTTGCTTCCTCTTGTCCCGTTTGTCTACCTCGATTGGAAGTTAGCATGCTTGATAACATGTGCAACAGTACATCAGTTCTATCCATCATCAAGCCAACCCAAATAAAAAAGGAACAGATAACTTGTGGTACATTCACTGTCAATCACTCATATGGTAAAAACGTAAACAGCACCAATATTCCAGAACCATTCACAATTAACGACGATTGTAAATGTGACTCACTCGATTACAGCTATGCTATCATTATATCAGATCTGATGAAATCTGATGAAACAAAGGCTACCCGAACTCCCAAAGCATTTGGTGCAGAAACCACTATCATTCCTGCCACACCATCAAATGTTCAAAATTTCGCCACTTTCTATGCTACTGTATGTTAGATGAATAAATAACTTCTAAATTTATGTTTATTGTGTTTCTTCTTATGCACTCTTTTTTGCCTTGTCTCTATCTTTTACCTCAACAAATTGAACAAAAATGACCAAAATCAATGAAAAATTAACCTCAAACAGTAAATAGCACAAAATTTCAATGAAATAAATTAAAGGAAATTATTGTTAAATTATTTGTTATTCCAACATTTGATCGGGAAAAATTAAGAAGCTCTTCTTTTATTGTACTTCAATATAAAGAAATTGAAAATTCAATTTGAGCTAATTTATAGATACATAATCATATCGGAATGAATTGATGTCTTGAGGCATTAAAAATTAGAGGTAATTAATGAACTTTATTGTCAGTAATTAAAAAAAAAGCTAATTATAAGCGGTTCATTTATGACCAAGAAGCTACATTCTAAAATCAATTAATCAATAAATTGTTTAAATTAACACAACAAAATACAAATCATATTCACAAGATTGTTGATTGTAAAATGATTGATGATTTTGATTAATGTGAACTAAAATCTGGAGTGAATAGTTATCAATTAAAACAACATGGCTTGGAACAGGTGAAAACCTTGAAAAAAATGGTCCAGCTGAATGTTAAATAATCTGGTCTTTTGATTTACGCAATTATGATGAGTGTTGTTGAATGATGATTGAGATGAACTGAACTCTAACTATTGATGATTGATTTAATATAATTGCTTATAATAGTGAACGGCCGAACTTGAAAATTGTTGTATGTTTCCTTATCGACACGAACTTGATCCCCTTCCAATCGATCAACCAGAATAACATTAACAATAGCACATTTGACCCGAGCTTTAGTGCACATAGCGGCAAAACAAGTGGCCTCCATTTCAATATTGGTAACACCTTTAGCAGCAATTTCATTTAAATAAATGGAAGCTTGTTCTCTGGTAAAATCACAGAAAGCGCCATCACAACGAGCTTGGCCTTCGTAAAAATCATCAGTGGTCATTGTGCAGCCTGGCTCAATAGGAATATCAGGATGATTAGCGGAAGCATAGTTAATCAAATTATTAGCTAATTCTTGGTCCAATGTGGCTTCCATATTGATTTCTTTGCCCAATTTGACAATGCGAAAGGTTGAACGGCACTGGTTATCAACGCACCTTTTAGACACAATTACAGTTCCTGGAGCTTTACCTGATGATACAGAAAAAAGACAAAATGTAAATTAATAAAGGAAATGACCGTGAAGTGATTAAGAAATGTTATATGAATGTAGAAATGTATGATTAAAGTATCAAAGAAAATAAAGGGTTAGAAAGCAAAATAATTGCCATTTTAACTGATAAACATAAAGTTAAAATGTTTCAACTGTAGGCATAACTTTAACGACATTGTTTGTATTTTGATGCACTTGTATCATCGCCAATATAAACCTTATCAACTATACAAAGGTAAACAACCAGGCAATTTAGATTCATTTTTTTTATAGCGATAGCTTTTTCCTCCAGTGAATCCATTTTCAGATCACATCTATTGATCTCTTAAGACTTTACACTTGGTTACCATGCCTTTTTCAACAGGGAAATAGTGTCTGATTTGATCTGAGGAACCATCCAAGAAGAAAAGATATTGATTGAAATGGTTAACTACCTTTTCCAGTTTGGATACACTTGAAAGCTGTAAAATACTAATAAGATATTCCAGTCTGTCAATGGAATCAAGAATAAATTAAGTCTGTTCGTTTCATTGATTGAATACGAATCAAGGTTGAAATTGCAAATTACTCTTTTATAAATAAATATGAATCTAGCTGATTAATATTTCAACTAGCTTTTTTGCCTCATCTCTGTGTTAACGTTCAACCATGAAAATTGAGTTAGACCTCGATACCATATCATTTGCACACTGTTTGCTTTATTGGTTATTAATAGTCAATTATGTTGAATCAATTAATCATCATCAATACTTTAAAAGAGTGTTATTTTGTTTCGCTAGACAATTCATAGTTAATTTGGTCAAACTACAAAAGATTTTCAATAGTCGGCCATTGATTAACTTGGAAGCAAAACAATCTTTGAATGATAAGGTATTGTAAATCAACTTATGGACTGAATCACCAACTGAATCTGATTGTTATACAATGAGAATTAGATTTGAAATGAGTGACAATGAATCTTTTGTTATTTTAATCAATGAACATTGTTTACGATGTCTAATGAACCATGTGATTTGAAGAACGGGATTTTAAACTATCTTTTTTCATTGAAACCAATGAAAGTGAAAAAAATTAACGTAACTAATAATAGTAATTATTATACAATAATGAATGAATAATGCTACGAGTGAGAGTATCTTCAATTATAAGCACTTATGATAACCTAGTATAATTCATGATAACTTGAATGATTAAGGTTTGTAAATTTGGCAGAGAAAATACGAGTTCGGATGAGTAAATTTAAAAGTGAATCAACCTTCAAAGACGCAAAGTAGATGACCTTGCTGAAAGGAGGCCATGAAAATGATGATAAATAATGCGAAGGGTGAGGAAAACCGAGTTCAGCGACCTTGAATAGCAAAAATCATGGAACTGGAGTAGAAATTGAACATTTCCAAAGGTAGGTTTCACGCAGAAAGTGTGAAAATTTGTATCCAAAATCTAGGATTCAAGTTATCTACACTTAAAAGATAGAGTAAGAGGAAAACGTGGAAAAATTCATTTACAATGAGAGCAAAGATATTTAGATACACAATATAAATTATCTTCTGTTAAGATTGTTATCAAGACTAGAATAGAAAAGAAATAAAACATGTAATCTAACATGCAACATCATCTTCTAGGAATCATCAAAGGATTTTTTTCTGCCAACAAATATCATGTGATATAAATTTTGTTTACCTTTTTATTCTCTCATCAACTCGAAATCACATTACAAGATTGAATGTGTTGTTAGTTGAAAAGAGCAAAATAAAGAATCAAAGAAAAATAGCTTTGAATCATAAAACAAGGAAATTAGATAGCATTATCATTCATAATAACACTCACTTAATCGTTATTTAATTGTTGATACAGAGAACTCTTACCTAAACCTCCGCAGGTACCAAGTCGAAAAAAGACAACATCTTTACATTTGGCGTAAGCAACAAGCTTGAATAACTCGTGTAGCAGTATTGATAGAGATGGGACACCCATACCATGCTGAAGTGAAGAAATGAGATAAAAAAAGATTTAAATAAAAACATCACTGAATCCATGATGGAATAGTTTAAGGGATAAAGATAGTATTTAAATGCGTCACAACTTGCCATACATTAATAAATATAACTGGTCCAACTTTATACATGCTGAACCTGTGGCCATCAGCAGATAAATCAATCAGGTCACCATCAATTCTTAGTTCTTCCTTCATCATTAAAGCATATGTATACATTCGATGAGCAGCCCCACCGGTACAAATGAATCTAACATCACCAAAATCTTTTTCCAGGTTATCACCTTGTTTTGTTAAACCAAGATGATAAAGATGGTCTACTTCCATTGATTTGAGGTAATTATTGGTCAAATTGGCTCCATGAATTTCTTTTGCGAGTGACATCTTTCTTTACGAGCTCTAAATATCCAAATAAAAAAAAGAGATTAGTCAATTAGGTTCACCTAGGTTAATTAAAATAGGGAAAGAAACAAGGAAAATACAGTTAAGTAATGTTGTTGATCTTTTAATACCTTTAATAAAGAAACTTTCAATTCACTAATTTGGATGCTTAATTGGTTAAATGCGGTAGATGGCGACTGTACCAATTAACGATCATCAAGACAGTTACAATTAAAGATTTAACATCATTAATAATGATGATAAAGTAAATAAACTTACATTGATTATCACCAGATTAAGGTCATCTATCACAACAATAAATCTTGACAGGATCAGCTGAAAGTTGAGTTTCACCCAAACATAGCTTAAAGAAGTGTTCTTATTTACATTGTGTAACCAACTAAATAATATCCTTAATTTCACTTATCTTTACTGATCGATTAAATGCCATTATAATCACCAATCGATGAAAGTAAACTCACTAATAATTAACAATAAAAAAAATCACGATTAAAATATAGGTAAAATGTTGTAACAGTTCATGGTTTTCATAGACATAAATAGTAAGTAACACTGGAAGCAATGGAAAGAAAATAGTAAAAGTGTTAAATGATTACCAGTGATTAATAATTATGATCATAAACAAGTACATAAATTAACACATTTGAAGTATATTAATGAAATTGAAAACTAAACCTAAATACCATTGTTGAATGTAAACCAAGCTAATTTAATTCATCAAATTAATAATAACAAGACATTAAACTCTGACTAGTTTACCAGTTTTAGTCTTTGGGTAAAGTTACAATAGAAAAGCTGATAGATGGCATTGTTTTTTCCCCCCAATCACGATAACCTCAGATGTTTCATCAAGGTAAATGGTATAATTGTCTGATAACTTGAATTCTTAGTAATGTTAACAATTCATCTTACAACCAAGAATGAAGAAATAAAAAAGTGTATTAATGAATGATTGATTGAAAATTTATCAAAGTAAATTTTTTGTCAGGTTGAGGGATCGCGTAAAAATTTATGGCACTATCTGGTTGCTCCGATAACTGGTTATTGACTGGTAATAGATTCCTTTAAAAGAATAAAGTGCGTTTTAACAAAAAAATTAATCAATTTGTCAAAATTTATCAACATTAAAACCAAGAATTTTTTTAACTTGTTCAGTTTGGCCTTAAAAAAACAGGTTTGACTAGGTTTAGAAAATGAATTTACTTTCATAATCGATAGTATCGACAAAAATACAAAAATCGTTTCATCTCATCGATCAATGAAAGCATGTTGAAACCATGAGAAGCAAAGAGTAAGGTTACAGTCTTTTCCCTTAAAAGTTACCAAATGGTAAAAGTTAACCAGAGTGACGTCCATCAAATAGGGAATGTCTAAGTACTTGAAATACAACTGACCACTGTAAATGTTGGTCATTGACAATGTCTATTCAAGTAAAGAGGTAAAACTGAAAGGGGAAAAACTGTATTAATAGTTAAGGCATATGCCCGTTGTAAGGCGCTACTAGTGCTAAAGTTTAAGAGCATTTCGGTAAGAGTAAGAGCGCCTTGTAGTGGAAATATGCCTTAACTATTTTCTCTTTTTCAAATTCTTCAAAAAAGTAAACCTCTCTCTCTCTCCTTCTTCGTCATTTCTCTTTCTTTTTCTCTTTCTTCCTCTCTTTCAATACCTTCTCGTCATCATCATCCGAAACATCTCATCATCATCATCATCCTTCTCTGTCTGTTTTTTTCCAAGGTCTGCGTATTTTCTCTCTCTTTTCTCTCCAAACATTCTCATCAAAAAACCTTGATTTATCTTAAATTTTACTTTTTCTCTCTCTTTCTCTCTCTTTCTGTTAACCAGCGAAAGCCCTGAAACTCTCACTCTTTCATTTACTTTTGATCAACTATATTTTTTTCTGACCCATCGCAATTAAATCAAATTTAAATGTTTAATATTGTATTTATATTTTGGTGAATTTGTATTTCTCTGTCTGTCTGTCTGTTTGCCTGTCTGTCTGTTCCTTCTCTCTCTATTTTTTTCTCTCTCTCCCTCTCTCTCTCCTTCTCTCTCTCTCTCTGTTTTTCTCTTCACACCATACATTTTCGGTGTGTATTGGGAAAATACGAAAATATATTTATTCATCTATAGTATTTACATGATATTATGGCAGAATGGACTTTAGATTTTGAAGAGCCATTTCGTGAAGAGCCGTTTCGTGCTCGAAGTCATACATGGCCTCTTCCACCGACCAGTTTATCAATCAAATCCGATGATTTACCGGATAGTAACAATAATAACAACATCACTTTAGGTAGTGAAGTGTCCAGCCAGGAGCTCAAACCCAATGGAAATAATAGTGGACATAAGAAAAATTCATCTCGACGCAATGCTTGGGGTAACATGTCTTATGCTGACCTGATTACCCAAGCTATACAAAGTTCATCAGAAAAGAGGTTAACCCTATCACAAATTTACGATTGGATGGTACAAAATGTACCATATTTTAAAGATAAAGGCGATTCAAATTCTTCCGCTGGTTGGAAGGTAAGTCGTTTTAATTTATTATTTTTTACTCTTTCCTCGCGTTCTATCTCACACTCTGTATTTCCTATCTTTCCTCCTTCATCCACTTTCTCCCGTTCTTTCTTTCCTTTTTTTCTCCCCTTTCTGTTTCTTTCCAATCTTCATTAGAATCTTCATTCAGTTCCCATGGTTTAGTGTTGGGTCTGAAAGATGGTTACTTTCTCATCTTAAATTGTGCCAATTGATGTTAAATGTTGTTGGTTAGATTCCAATAATCACAAATATCATATTTATTATTTTAACAGCCATCAATGGAATTTTGATCGTTAAAGTTTGATCATTAAGTTGCCTGATAAACAAAAATTAATTTCAGATTTTCGAGCTTTCCTTGCATTAGTTTTCTTAACCAATTCAACTCTCCAATTTCCAAATTTAATTATTTTAATTAATGGCAGATATTTCAAATCAATATTATATTACAGGTATTCAAATCGTTAAACAGAGGCTTAAACAATTTTTAAATCTAAATTTCGGAGGCAGTAAAATTTATCATTATTTACTGTGTTAAACTCTTTCCCTTTCTCTCGTTCTGAAAGTGATCAAATTTGATCACAGGTTTTCATATTACCGAGTAAAGTAGCAACCATTTTTCATTCAAATTTAGTTTCCATTTTCCTTTTCAAATAATTTATGATTAAAACAAAATACTTTTTCTCTTCTCAATCCATTTTTGATTCTTTCACCACCATAGAACTCGATTCGACACAATTTGTCTCTTCATAATCGATTCAAACGAGTACAAAACGAGGGAACCGGAAAAAGCTCTTGGTGGGTGATTAATCCGGAAGCTAAACCTGGTAAGGCTGCGAGACGACGAGCAACCAGCATGGAAACACAGAAGTACGAAAAGAAACGAGGTCGAGTCAAAAAGAAGGTCGAAGCTCTTCGCAATGGTACCATTCTTGATGATAAACCATCTCCCGGTTCATCTGTATCAGAAGGTTTAGATATGTTTCCAGAATCACCATTACACCATGGTTTCCAGTTGAGCCCCGATTTTCGACCTCGAGCATCCTCAAATGCCAGCTCTTGTGGTAGACTTTCTCCTATAATTATTGAATCAGATTTACATGATGATCACGTATGCATCTAATTTAATTTTCCCTCTTCATTACCTTTTTTCACATTTAAATTTTAGCTAATGAAACTCGTTAACTGTCTTACCAGTTTTTTTCCATTGTCATTATCATGTTTATCATCGTTATACTTGATCAATGAGCATGTATCTTCATCATAGTATCTCCATCTCAATCAACATTTTACCTTGAAGTGATCTTTTCCATCAAGGGCCTTTCAATTCACATGATCTAGCATGTGATTCACCTTCTTTCGCCATCTGTTGGGTGATGAGATTCATAATTTTAAACTAGCCTAGTGAAAGTCAATTTTGGTTGGACATCTCTTTATGACAGTTATTGTTTAGAAATGCATGTTAATATGAATGTTAACATAATTATCAAAGAATAGATATTGCTAGCTCTTTGATTATTTTCATTCATTAGCTACTATTTTTTTACTATCAAAATTTTCTTATCTTCAACTCATATCAGTCTGATTGTTTCAAACTAACCAGAATTATTATCTAAATAAAATAGATAAATTATAAAATAATTACGTTATAATTATTAGCAGATTGACTGATCCCGGTTGATTGATGAAGAAGACTAAAACAATGACATGTTTATCATATGCTTACTTTTTTTTCTCCCTCTTTTATTAGGATAATCCTTCCTTGTCTCCTATTTCATCATGGAATTCTGATTTACGTTTGTATAATACTAATGATGGGCAAGATACAATTACAGAGAAATTGGTTGAAATGGCTAATACAATGAAGCTTGGTGGTCCTAGTTATAGTAAAAACAGTCCTAATTCACCTCAATCTCAAACGCAGCAGCAATCACAACAATCCCAGCCACAACTTCATCATCAACAAAGTGGTTCATCACCATCAGATAACAACACCGTCAATTCAGTGACCAAATCATACACTAATCTGAATACTTTTGGTGGTCAAGGATCAAATGTTACTTATTCAACTACCTCCATCTCCTGCAACTCGCTCAATCCATCAACTGATGGTTTAAATGCCAATCAACTCGGAAGTGGGTCAAATTCGATGAATTGTAATTCTTCGGACTCTTTTTTCCCTAATTCGATAGATGATAATATAACACTGACAACGCTAAACACTATCAACACTTCACGAAGTCCAAACAAATCGATCAATTCAGGGGCAACTTTTGGCGCCAATCAAAACAGTGCCAACAGCTCATACAGCTCCTCGAATATGTCTCCTTCTTTATCACCCAGTCAATCAATGGATTTACTTTCCAGTTCGAGTCAAATTAACAGTTCATTAAATAATAATTTTAGCACAAAGGATAATCAGTCACAACAAAATCAACAGCAATCGTCAAGCAATCGTCTTAATCAAATCACTTCACAAAATAGAGGTAAGTTAAATTGTTTGCTCATTAATCATGCAACTTCAATCTCTTTTTTTTACTCAAACAGGTCTCGATAATTCATCAATCCGACGATATAATAATTCCAAATTATTAGGTTCGCTATCACTCAACTCCAACGGTTCACCTCTTTCATTATCATCTCTTGGGACCACAGCGTCTCAAGTAATGGGACATATTTTATCGTTTAACAACCCATTGCCAAATGATTTGGATTTAAATATGGATTCTTTACAAGGAGGTTTAGAGTGTGATGTTGACCAAGTTATAAGGCATGAATTGAGTGTCGAAGGAAATCTTGATTTCAACTTTGAATCAATGCAAGCCTCCAATGTTGCCCCGATCCGGTCTGATCGACCAAGTTTGGTTGATCATTTTCATTTCGACCCATGATCCACCCATTAGTCCGATTGATCAGATCGGATCGGTTTATTAGTGGCTAAAAGTTGTGCGTTTATGATTACCAACGTGTTAGTTTTGTATGACTATTTTACAATAATTGTTTGTGTTGTCTCACAATTTGTGTTGAATTTTAATTGTACTCTAATTTTATATCTGTAAACTTCAATCAAAATTCATGCTTCTGACCCTGTAAAACTGTGTTAATTTCTCGATCCAAGAAACGATCTCGATCAAAGCGACGATTCATTGATCGTTTTTTTTAATCGATTACTCATTCGATCATGATCACTATTGTTCGATCGCTTAAAGGAACGATGATCGTCAAACCTCACAACAACCATCAAGCCTCTGATGATGAATCCATTCAAGGACTAAATGGAACTTCTCGCTCCAGCCAAATGTCAACATTTATTGATTGTACCATTGTTTCAGTTAGACATCACCAAAACACCCAAAACGCCTTACAGTCACCCCACAGGAACTGCACATGGAAATGGCCTATTTTAACTGTTGATCGGTCAGATCAATTTCATCATTTATCATTCTTGCCTAATAGTCTTATAATTAACGTAAATTATCACCACACAAACCAGTTTTATGAGTTTTTCTGGTTAACATTTTTACGAACAGAGATCAAATTTAAAGTTCGTTAACCATTACATTAAATTGAAATTAAATTTATTTAATTTTTAAACCCTGCCTTGAAAGGGACCATTGAAAGAAAACTATTTTCTGTTTCCGAACGGTCCAGTTTTTAAAGGGTGACTGTACAACAAAAGCTTTCTGATCTACAAACCAAGGTTACTAGATCAGGAAGAAAAGTCTATTTTTAAAAAAATGTTAAATTAAATGGGTATCAAAAATCAAAACAAAAAAATATTATTTACGGTTGAAATTGACAATTAAATGGGATGAGATTCAGAATATTATCAGATTACAGTAAAAACCCTTAAAATGTACAGCCTATTACTATAACATTGCCTAGTGAAATTATGTGAACAAGCATTTCAATGTAATATTTTAAATTTTGTTTAATTGCTTAACAATGGTTTTAATTTTATTGAAAATTCCCTAAGCCTTCTAATTAATATTTCATGACCAGTAATCAAATTCATTTCGGAATGAATTTCTTTCTTGTTACTCGTAATGTAAGCCGATAATTGTACATTTGTGCCCACTGTTCAGCTCAACAAATTCAACTGATTTGTGCTTGGACCCAACATTATTGCTCATTGAAATACATCATTGGAAAACAATCGACTATTAAATTATTTCTGGTTCGTTAAAATTTTCTCGGTTGATTGTTGGATACTGTTTACATTTGATTAATTTGATAATCTGGTGTCAATCATCTTTAACAGCTTCTTGAACCTGACGAGTTTCTTTCCTTGATTTCATGTTTTTATTATTGTAAAAATTGAACAGTAATCGTTATCGAGCCACATGTAAAATTTGATGTTAAGTGCGTATTATGTGGCGTTCGGATGAGGTGTCTTAGCAAATTGTCAATCAAATGAACCATAGTATGTGACCAGTAATTGTGATTAAATTGATTTGCAACCATTTTTCATGCTTATCTTCGTTCTTTCGCTGTTTTTTTGTTTGCTCGTAAAATAGCTAGAATCGCAATTAATGTCTCCTCGCGTTAATTATCTTGAAAACATTCATTTCAAATTGGAAAAACATAGTCTAGACAAAACACAGAATTGCTTGGTATGCACAAGAAGGCTTAATCACTAACGATAAATTAAAGTTGGTCGTACTTAACATTAACCTTAATTTTTAACGTTTTTTAAAAAAAAGACTGTTTAAGACTTAACCCTGAATGTTATTGTTAATCATGAACACCGTGTCGATTGGAGCTCCTTGTAGTCTTAGTGATAAATTTTTGTATTTTTCCAGTAATTTTGACAGTCCTCAGTTCGTCAAATCTAAAGCATGGACAAGCTTTTCATTTAATACTTCAACTGATTAAACATGTTCTCCATTTGGTTCAAAAGGGTGATTAGGGATAAAGAAGTAATAAAATTTGATTGTAGCTTCAAGTGTTTACCATGGAATTATGGAAATGAAAGTTATCCATATTTAAGGTCAATTTCAAGTGGAAATAAAATCTAATAATTTTTGAGGTAATCAATGAAATCATCAGCATTGTAAAGTTGATTCTGAGCTTCATAAAACTCTAAATTGATTGAAATACCAGCAGCAACTGAATTTATTTCCCCTCTTTTTGATTGAACGGTTGATCCCAGATTTGAATCACGAGCGAATTGAATCATATCTTCAGTTCTTGTGATTATCAACAATTAAAGCTTTCAAAATCATTCAAGGTCGCTCTACTATTTGACTGCTAATGACATTAAAGGTCATAAACTGCTATCTTCTAACACTCTAACACAGTTCGGTGTTAGTTGTGAGTCAATAATTTTTATCATTAAAGAGATGCACGAGTTTTTCAAAACCAGAATTACCAAGCTCAAGGAAACTTGAATGCTCATAAAAGTGTATCTACACATGCATCTAAATGCACCCCATCACTACATGCATGAAAACAGCATGATTATTGATTTGTTATCAACATATGTCAGTTCAAAAAAGATAGCGCCTTTCTAACGTTGCCTTGTCACTTGAAGTTCATATAACTGAGTGATCTAAAAGTTTCAATATATGGTTCCTCAATTTGAGGAAGCACATGGTTAAAATTCGGAATCTTCAGTGCCGTAAGTTATGACTGCGTACAAACGCAATAGATAAAAATCCCCTGTACAATGGGGTAAAATGGTGCACAAGCACAAAATGATGTCGCTTTCACTGTTTAGAGCAATGTGGATATTCCTAATATTAAATTCATCTGTAAGGTTAATTTAGTGGAAATAAGTAATGCAATTCTGGAATAATTAGAAAGGATAAATTGTTACTATCTTGGATTACAACAGGTTTGTGGAAACGGTTTTCAATTATCATAGACTCGTTTAGCTAGTTTGTATGCACGATTCATCTAATATAATGATGAATGAATGGATGAATGAATTTCGTTCTGTTGCCATCTCTAAAGTTTATGTAAGCTGACAATTGCACTTTTTGGGGATTTGTTACTCTTACCACTTTTAAGCTCAACAAATTCAGCTGATTGTTCTTCGAGACAATCTTATTTCCCTCCAAAATATACCTTTGGCAAACAACCGAGTATCAAATTCTGTATTAAATTCCTCATGGCTGCATCCAATTCAATCTGATTCAACAGGTTGTAGCATTTCTAGGTGCAGCTAATCTTTCAAAATGTTTTGGCAATTCGTTGCTAATTGTTGAATACTGTTTTTATCGAATCGGAAAGCTGTCCGTTTTTGTTTCTCTGACAAGTTAAAAGCTCCAAGTGACTGATGAAAATCCATGGATAATTGATTCCAATCCAGAATAAGAAAATCAATACGGGCAATACATGTATTTTCAGCATAAGCAATCTGAGCTAATTTTGTTATCAACTTTGTCCCAATTCCCATTTTTCTGAATTGCGGATCAACAAAGATGTCTTCCATGTGAATACATCGGCCTTCGTATGTTGAGTAAGTGTAATAGTAGATTAAATAACCAGATAATTTGTTATTGGCATCATGAGATACTAAGCATTTAAAACTTGGAGGTTTGTTTTCAGTAAAACCATCCCGAATAAAAGTCTCAGTATCAATTTTCACCGCATCCTCCATGCTTAAATAACGAGCAAACATTTTGATTAATTCAATAATTTGATGACAATCATCTTTAACAGCTTCTCGGATCTGATGAGTTTTATGTTTTGATTCCTTGGTTTTATTAGCTAATTGTTGAATACTGTTCTTATTGAATCGAAAATAATTCCAACCCTCTTTATTTGACAAGTTAACAGCTCCAAGTGACTGGTGAAAATCGATGGATAACTGATTCCAATCCAAAATAGATAAATCGATACGCGCCATATCTTCAGCATAAGCAATCTGGGCTAATTTGGTTATGAACTTTTTCCCAATTCCCATTTTTCTGAATTGAGGATCTACAAAGATATTAAGAATGAAAATAGATCGACCTTCCCATGGATAAGTGTAATAGTAGATTAAATAACCAGATAACTGTTGATTTTCACCATGAGATACTAAGCATTTGAAACTTGGAGGTTTGTTTTCCGTAAATCCATCATCAATTAAAGTTGTAGAATCAATTTTCACTGCATTCTCCATGTTTTCATAGCGAGCTAACATTTTGATTAATTTTATAATCTGTTGACAATCCTCTTTAACAGCTTCTCGAATCTGATGAATTTCTTTCTTTGATTCCATGGCTTTAGGACTGGAAAAATGGAACCAGAATGAGTCTTTAACTTTTAAAATAACTTTAAATAAGATTGTTTATCATTTTTATCATGTGGCGTTCGAATGAGGGGTAATATTGTCATCTAAGATTGTCAATCAAACAATCATATCTCGAATACTGAATACCAAAGAGTATTACTCTTTGCTGAAAACTGAATTTACAATGGAATAAAAAAATGGTGTTTTCACTTTGCTTTGTTTGACAAAAAAATATGTCTTCAACAAAACTGGGAAGAGAAATGTTAATAACTGTAAAGTATCAGAAATAATTAAAAATGCTCTAATGCTTCACCTAAATTTACGGATACCATTGAGATCATATACAGCCATGAATCGAAAGTTGAATCCACTTTTTGAGTAATTTGCGCATTTTATTATCAAATCTATGATTAACTTAATCAATTGCTGATTACAAACTGTTAACCCATACATTTTGAGAAATGTTAATAACTGTAAAGTATCAGAAATAATTAAAAATGCTCTAATGCTTCACCTAAATTTACGGATACCATTGACGGCTGTATTTTCCCATTGAGATAGCATTTGCGATTTGTTCTTATTAAATTTAAATTAAAAAATTCTGCTGATTCGTTTTCGAACAAAATTTATAGTCCAACCAAATAAACCATCTCTGGAAAACAACCGACTTTAAAATTCGCTGGTTTGTTAAATTTTTTCTTGGTTTACTGTGGGATAATGTTTCCATTGAATACGAAAACATTTCTTTCCGAAAAAAACTTTCTGGTTCAACTGGTTAGAGTATTTCCGAATGCAGTTGATTTTTCAAAAGCGTTTTCTCAATTCTTTGCTGATTGTTGAATACTTTTTTTATTGAATCGGAAAGCCAACCGTTTGTGTTCTTCTGTCAAGCTAACGGCTCCAAGTGATTGGTGAAAATCAATGGATAATTGATTCCAATCCAGAATAAGAAAATCAATACGGACAATATTCTCAGCATAAGCAATCTGTGCTAGCTTGGTTATCATCTTCGTGCCTATTCCCATTTTCCTGAATTGCGGATCAACAAAGATTTCTTCCATATAAATACATCGACCTTCCCATGGTGAATAAGTGTAATAGTAGATTAAATAACCGGATAATTGATTATTGACATCATGTGATACTATGCATTTGAAACTTGGAGGTTCGTTTTCAGTAAAACCATCACGAATCAGAGTTTCAGCATCGATTTTCACTGCATCCTCCATTTTTACATAACGAGCAAACATTTTGATTAATTCAATAATCTGGTGACAATCATCTTCAACAGCTTCTCGGACCTGGTGCGCTTCTTTCTTTGATTCCATGGTTTTACCAGCTAATTGCTGAATACTGTTTTTATTAAATCGGAAACTATTACTAGCCAGTTTATTTGACAAGTTAACGGCTCCAAGTGATTGATGAAAATCAATGGATAATTGATTACATTCCAGAATAAACAAATCAATACGTGCCATATTCTCCGCATAAGCAATCTGGGCTAATTTGGTTATGAACTTTTTACCAATTCCCATTCTTCTGAATGGAGCATCTACAAAGATATTCAGAATGAAAATACATCGACCTTCCCATGTTGAGTAAGTGTAATAGTAGATTAAATAACCAGATAATTGGTTATTGGCATCATGAGATACTAAGCATTTGAAACTTGGAGGATCGTTTTCAGTAAAACCATCGCGAATCAGCGTTTTAACATCAGTTTTCACGGCATCCTCCATGTTTTCATGGCGAGCTATCATTTTGATAAATTCCATAATCTGGTGACAATCATCTTTTACAGCTTCTCGAACTTGATGAGTTTCTTCTTTTGAGCCCATGGCTTTATGACTGTAAAAAATGGAAACGGAATATTAAAATAACTACTAAAATAACTGCTAAATTGATGTTTTATCATGTGGCGTTTGAGGGGTAATATTGTCATCTAAGATTGTCAATCAAACAATCATATCTCGATTACTGAAAACTGAATTTACAATGGTATAACAAATGGTGTTTTCACTTTGCTTTGTTTGACAAAAATAATATAAAGTTAATCTAATGAATTTCAGGTCGCTCTCATTTTAAAAATACTGACTTCAGAATTTTTAACTTGGTGAGATGAAGCATTTTATAATTTAATCATATAAATTATATACTATTGAGATAACATTTGAAATTTACACTTGCCAATTATTAGCTAAAAAATTCAGCTGCTTTGTATTTCGAGCCAAATTTAGGGCTGGGCATTTCTGGAAACAGTCAAGTTTAAAATTTGCTCTGGTTGCTAAATTTTTTCTTGGTTAATTGTTGTATACTGTTTCCATTGAATCGAAAGCAATGCGGACTTTCTGGTTACATCTATTTCATTCTGGTTCAACTGGTTAACGTATTTCCAAATGCTATGTTTTTTCAAAAGTGTTTTCTCAATTCTTTGCTAATTGTTGAATACTGTTTGTATCAAACCGAAAATTATTCCAAGCGAATTTATTTGTCAAGTTAACAGCTCCAAGTGACTGGTGAAAATCGATGGATAATTGATTCCAATCCAGAATAGATAAATCAATACGCGCCATATTCTCAGCATAAGCAATCTGAGCTAATTTGGTTAGCAGCCTTTTCCCGATTCCCATTTTTCTGAACTGAGGATCAACAAAGATATCTTCCATGTAAATACATCGACCTTCCCATGTTGAGTAAGTGTAATAGTAGATTAAATAACCGGATAATTGATTATTGACATCATGTGATACTATGCATTTGAAACTTGGAGGTTTGTTTTCAGTAAAACCATCACGAATCAGAGTTTCAGCTTCAATTTTCACTGCATCCTCCATGTTTTCATAGCGAGCCAGCATTTTGATTAATTTAATAATCTGGTGACAATCATCTTTAACAGCTTCTTGGACCTGATGAGTTTCTTTCTTTGAATCATCGGTTTTATTAGCTAATTGCTGAATACTGTTTGTATCAAACCGAAAATTATTCCAAGCGAATTTATTTGTCAAGTTAACAGCTCCAAGTGACTGGTGAAAATCGATGGATAATTGATTCCAATCCAGAATCCACAAATCAACACGGGCAATATTCTCAGCATAAGCAATCTGAGCTAATTTGGCTAGCAGATTTTTCCCAATTCCCATTTTTCTGAATTGTGGATCCACAAAGATATTCATCATGAAAATAGACCGACCTTCCCATGTTGAGTAAGTGTAGAAATAGACTAAAAAACCAGATAAATGTTGATTTTCACCATGAGATACTAAGCATTTGAAACTTGGTGGTTTGTTTTCCGTAAATCCATCACGAATTAAAGTTGTAGCATCTATTTTCACTGCATCCTCCATATTTTGAGATCGCGCTAAAATTTTTGTTAATTCGATAATCTGGTGGCAATCCTCTTTAGCTGCTTCTCGAACCAGATGAATTTCTTTCTTTGATTCCATGTTCTTGTAACTGCAAAAAAATTGAGACGAAACAATCCTTGAACTATTAAAATAGCTTTAAAAAACGATGATGTTTTAACATGTGGTGAATAAGGGGAAATATTGTAATCAAAGATTGTCAATCAATCATATCTCGAACACTGAAAACTCAAGTTTTTTATTCACAACGATATAACAAACGGCATTGACACCTGCTTTGTTGAACAAAAAAAGCTGTCTCTCAAATCTAAGAAGAGAAATGTTGACATTTATAAATTTCAAGGTCGATCTAATGAATTGAACTAATTTTCATTTTAAAAATTACATTATGACTTCAGCAATTACAAGCATCAGAAATAAGTTGCTGTAATTGGAAATGCTCTGCTGATTCATCTAAATTGTTTACCTACTTTACGTTTATTTTAAACACGATAGATGGCAGTACAAACTTGGTATTTGACTTGTCCAAGTTGGTTATTTAATTGAATCGAAACTAAAGATTACAATAATAGCAATATAAATAGTTATGCTCTTTGATTGAAACATTGTTTAACTAATCAAAAATTTTTTAATTCGTGTTACCGATTGTGTTGGATGGCTTAGAACATCTATTAAATTCATCAATAGTTGATTTTCAGTAATTAGTGTTGAAAACATTCAAGTTAAATATTATGTCAGAAAAGACGCTTTACTGGATTTTCAGAATGGGTTACATGGAAAATCCATGAGAAAAGAAAAGGGATAATCTTTTACTTCTTCTAAAAATAAATTCAGTGATGATAAAGTGATGGGTATCAGAGGGTAATAGAGTGATAAATTCAAAAATGATCAGTTTAGACTAACAAAAGGCCAACGTAAATGCATATCTAATATGGGGCACAAGAAACAGGTATAAGTAATTTGTATTGACCATTTTTGTCCAATATCCCAGTGTTATATCAAATAAGAATTAAAATTAATCATTCTTAACAAAGTTGGGTTCCATCTATTAATGCTAATTACATAAAGTCCTTTGCTTTTCAGTTAAAACGATCGAAGTTTTTCTTAAGCTTTTACAAGACAATTGGCTTATCCTGAAAACCAATTTTGAACCACAAATATTGGTCATGAACCAAGTTATGAGCTTTTCTCGTCTAACATTGATTTCTATGGCTAGGGTTCATACTTTTGAAGATTACTGTATTCAAATGATTTAAGAATATTTAGATTGTAAATAATTAGAAGAAAATTGAGAATAAAATTGAGTTAAAATGTTGCTATACTATTGTTAGTGGAAATGTATGACCAAAAGCAGTTTCTCATTGTTTGTAATTCAATAATTACACTTACCCTTTTTATTTTCAAAACTGAATGAACCTTCAATATCATCAAGAAGCTTGTTAAGACATTCTTGTAATTTAATATCATTAGTTGTATCGTTAATTTTATCTATCACATTTTTTTCAGCTCTCAGTGGATCACTATCAGAATCGTTGGCTAATTGTTTCTCTATATGTGAAAATGGTGAAGACAAGCTGTACGATTGTAATACATTTAAATCATTGTCACCCGCATTGGCAGCCAAAACTTCATTCACTGGATCCGTCTGAGACTCAAAATCATGACGTTTGGGTAAAACAATGGACTGATCAGCAATCCCATTAAACCTTGGATCAACATTATTGTTAACATCACTATTATTGAGTTGATCAATATTGTTATTATGTTGATAGCTGTTTGAATTGTGATTGCTGTTTAACACTTCGGCCCACATTGTTGTTGGACTTGTTGCCCTTTGAAGGTCGATAGGTAAATTATTTGACAACCTATGAAACAGCCGGTTGTCCTCTTCATCTTGTTCACCGTCTTTTAAAGGATTTTCTGCCAACCTCTGTATGGGCTGACCTTGTTCAGTTTTGATTCCTGAATCGGGTTTACCATTATTTCCAGATCCTCGACCTCCAAAATTAGTTTGAGCATGAGGTTAGAACCTGAGCAACTTGAATAGCAACATCAACAAACCTTTCCTCCGGTGCAACAACTCTCTTTGAAATTTCGTAGTCTTCAAAAAAATCAGCTAATTTGTTTTTTCCCTTTCTAGTTGAAATAACCATTAGGGAAGAATCACAGCGAATTTGAATTTCAAATTTACTTACAATTTAGTCAATTCCTTATCCAATTTTACAGGTTTCAATGATAGAGTTGTCCGTGATCTGGTGAAGGGTCATCAGCTGGAATGATCAGCAAACAGTTTTGTTGATGCTTTTGACTTACCAAACGCAAACCCAAAACAATCGACACGTTACATGTCAATCAATTTATGAATTATTTAGTCGATTGTATCATAATTGTTCCCATCCAGTCATTACTAACTATCATAACATATCAAAGGAAAACATCGCCATCATCATGATCAACTCAAACAATAACTACTGCTATCTTTTTCGGGTTTTTTAGGTTTACATGTCAATTGAAAGTCAAGATAAAACTGTCACTTCTGGGTTACTTCTGCTTTCCATTTTTACACTGTTAAACAAATTTATTGATATCCAAACAAACTAAGGTTAATGTCAACAATCAGTTGATTGTTAGCTAATTTGATTTGTCAGTTGGGTTTATCTAGCAATTGGTAAGCCAGCGAAGCAAAAAAATTTGACAAAATTTCTATAAACAAGAAAGTGTGTCTGTCAATTGTAATGTTTGCAAAAAAAGCTGATGGCAATTTAACTGAAAGTCAGATTTTTTCCTCAGAGAAAGCGTAATGAACTTGAGTAAATTTCAAAAAAAAAAGATTGAATAATTGCTTGGAGAGGTTGTTGTTAGATAATTTTCATCAAGATTATCATGAATTGCATACTCTTTTACCGTTATTTAAATTGCATCTGAAAAGGTTAGATTGGATCTTAATTTGACTTTAATATACATACAATACTGATTAACCTTACTTACAAGTTAATCTGTTGATGATGAAAAAAAAATCAAGAACAAAAATGATTAGTGTCAAAATATAGAAGCAATCAGATTAGTCTTTTTTTGCCTGGATCAAGCTAATCCAAAAGTGAAAAGTAGATTATCCTTTCTCACTTGACAATCAACACGTGTTAATATCAACTGCACGCGTTAACCTCGGTAAGCCTTAAGCATTCAACCAAATGGCAGTCAAGTTTAATACTAATCAAAATCATAATCGCAACGTAATCTGCTGTTAAATTGTAGCGCAAAATTGGTAGGCCATCTTAACGGCAGCAAATTTTTAAATCCAAAGATGAAGTGTCTGATGATTGAGGCTTTAAAAGTCAACCTAAAAAATAGAAAGAAAATTAAAATTAGAATTGTAATTATAACATTAAATGATTGCTTTTAAATTTGACAATTGTTGAAATCAATTAATTTGTATCAATTTCCTTAATTAGACCAGAAATAACACTTTTTTAACACAAAACCTATGTCTGTTTATCAAAGTCATATTACACTTTTGTTGGATTGTACAGATTCACATTTATTTGAAATGTATTTTATATTTTATATCTATGGGTCACAATTGATTAATAAATTATGGTAACTAGACAAGACTAACCGTTAATCAAGAGTTGATATGATTTTTTGGTCTGAAATGAAAAAAAGTGAAATCTGTTTCTTTCCAACAACTGTTCATTCTGCGTTGTTCATCTTCTTCTTGTTGGCTGTTGACAATATTCATTGAACCCAAACGACTCCCTGCAATGAAATGTAATAATAATAGCAACTGTTATCATTATCGCCACAATTTAGAGTCCATCATTGAGGCCACCTCCACAGCCCACCATTAGCCCATCACCAGTCATAGTCATCACTTGCCTTCACTTCATGACACCTTATACACATAGACAGTCGCTTATACTCACAGTTTACAGCAAAAAGCTCATTTATCCACCATCAGTTTTAATTTGAATGCAAGCAAAAAAATATCGAGAATTAGATTCTTCCTTTTCTTTCTCTCAATCTTTGATTAATTTACCTAAATCAACATAAAATGATCATTTATCTTTTAAAATGGTTCATCTTTTGAAATGAAGTGAAGGCAAAGTGAAAGGAGGTAAAGACTTACCGAAAAGATGATGAGCGCAAAAAGATGCACATATAATAGGATGACAATGACAATGACATAGACAATTGTAAATTGCCAATGTTAAATGATGTTAACAGTTAATGGTTAAAGTTAATAGTCAAATAGAGTTGAAAACAAAACCAAATAAAAAATGAAACAGTAAGTGACTTTTGAAAATACCTAATCAGGAAAATAAACAAACAAACAATTTTTGTCTTTTTTTGTTTCAAACACTCACTCCATCTATCTTTGCCTTCTGTGCCTATTCTGATTTCAGTATTTCAGTGATGACACTAAGCCCATCAGGGGTTCTTGAAACCAAATTACCTTTTCATTTGTGCCTTTTTTGCCTCTTTTTTCATCATCATCCTGCCTCACTTAACCATCGTTGTTGTGTACAATGTAACACCATCAAGAAGGCAACAAGAGTGCAACAAAAAGACTAAAATAAAGTCCAACTTATAACACCAAATGTGTCAACTAGAAACATATTCATATGGTTACTTGGCATTTTGACTCCTTGCTGATTTCTTATATCGTTTTCATCAATCTCTCTTTCTCTCTGCCTGTCTTTATACATCTCTCATCAATCGCCAACATAATATCATCAAACCCCCTGCAGTTTTATCTTCCTCCTCCTCATCCCTCTCCTTCTTTACCCATCCATACTTTTTCTTACACCAATTTTTGGATCGTCTTTATGCCTATCCATCGAGCCTTCACTTACTATCATCATCATTATCAAAGTTAATCGTTTATTCATATCACGATTAAACCTTATTGCGCTCTCTGTAAACGATCCTTTTATCATTATCATTATAAACCATAATAATAATAATCATAATCATCACAACAATCACAATTTTATGATGACAGTTAACTGTAAAAGTGTATTAAATTACATTTTATACCAACAACTGATACGCCATCTTTTGTCATCATAACTTTTGTCAAATTTTTGTCCCTTTTTTTTCATCATTTCAATTTATCCTTTACCATCAACATGCACAATCATCTTGATCATCCATTTTCACTTTCACATCATGCAACCAACAAGTTTAACCAAAGACAAAATCAACTTGAAATACAATTTAAATGTTAAAACTCTCTTCAATTTTTAGCTGCTATAAATATTGTATAAGAGCTTTTTGTATATACATTTTGAAGAGGCTCTTTTTTTGCTGTTACGAGAAAAAATCGTGATCCATCCAGATGATGATATTGATATCGTTGACGACCATGGTGATGATGATAATGTTCACCATGTGTATAACAGTATGAAAATTCACGTCCTTCAAAAACACATCAAAAAGCAGAAGAGTATAAGAAGAGGAAGAAAAATGTTGAAATGTTATTCAATGTTGATACATTTTTATTTATTTATTTATGTTACCTTTTATACCAATTTTCATCCATGACAATGTATTTTATTTATTTACTTACTTACACTTGATCATCATCACTATCATCATCATCATCATCTCCATCTTCATCATCAACAATAACAACAGCAACAACACTTCATTTGCTTTTCAATTTATGTGTCAACATGATTTCATCACTTATAACTGAAATGATGATGATGATGATCAAGTAGATTTTGCTTTCTTCCTTATTCATCTTAGCATTGTTAGATAACCATTATGATACAATAATATTCAATTCATCATTTAATCATAATTTAATGTTTTCCCTCCATAACTAATTTCTGTTGCCTCTTTGAGTGGCCTGAGAGTATTAACAGTTGTTTTCAGTTGATAATATTATTTGCTTACAAAGATACAATTGTGATAGTTGATTATTGATGAGGAGCAAATAACTCTTTATCAATGTTGTTTCAATCTTCAATCCATTTCTCAAGTTGAATCTACAGAAAAGAAGAAAAAAATTATCAAAAACAAAATTTAACTCAGTTTTTCAAATTGATTATACATTCAACTGATTCTCGTGAGATTTAATTGTTAAATAATCGCGAGAGAGAGAGAGACAATTAATATATTAATATATGAATAAGAGTGAAAAAAAGCTAAATTCATCAAAGCAATTCTGAAGGCAAACCTTTTGGGTGTTGATTGTTTGCAATCAAGATGGTTCCGTGACTTGTTAATCCTGATTCAATCAACTACAAGCAAAACTGTTTTTTGTTGTTGTGTGCGTGCTGAACGTGTGCTGAGCAAGTCGAAAACTCAACAATATAACAAAAATGGAAGGTTTAGGATGATAAAACCATTTGTCTGGGGCATCAACACAAGGATAACCAAAGGCCAATTTTGTACGCTTATTGTTGATCAAGTTTTGAAGGCTGACAACTTAATACAGCAGGAACTGTGTGTAAAAGAGGAAAAAGAAAGGAAATATTAGTACTAATTTTTGGATAATTAACACAATTAGTTGGATAATCAATTTGATTTGATTTAATCATTGTATGTGTATTGTTTTGTTTGTTGCTGTTGTTGCTGCTGTTGTTAGGTTTGTCTGATAAATGAGCTGAGACTTGGATTTAAAGACTTGAGTTAAAAAGGATTTGTAATTTTCAAAGCTTATCCATTCATCATGCTCAGATAATGAGCCTTATCTCAGATTCAATTCTTATATTATTTTCGTATTCATCTTAATCATTATCATCATTATTTTATCCTTTCTTCTCGGTTATAACTATGATTGGAATTTAATAATATTCAAACCACGTTGCCTGGTTAAGACCAAAAAATAAGTTCAAGAAGAAGGCCTTTCTTTTCCTCTTGTGTTTCTTTCTCTAATTCATCTTTCTTGTGTGTTCTCCTGTATTTTACAATGTCATGAGAGACACTGTGAAATCTATCTGATAATGATCAACATGAGAATGAATTTGTTGTTTAATTGGGATACAAGGAAAGGAAGTGTAACTACAATGAATGAAGCTTTGGTCTATCGGTCGATAAAATTGATACTTTTATATTGGATTAGGTAAAGTTAGACTTGTTCAATTTCCGATCAAAATGATAGAAAGAAGGAGAAAAAAAACAAGATGAGAAGATGAGGAAGAAGAAAAAATGAGCCTCTAAAATTGCTTCCTTTCTTTTTGCTTGGATCAATTCAATTTAAGCTAGCACTTTTCACAATCTAGCTCCATAGCCTTTTGAATCAAGTAAGGATGAACAAATGAGAGTGAGAAAGAGAGAGAGACAGAAGATGAAGATGAAGGATAAGAAAGAGAACTGATGAAAATGTTGAATGGAAATGAATGAAATTAGAAGAATCAAGTTCCCTTCGCAATCAGTCGAGAAAGTTACATGATGAGGATGATGATGATGATGAATTTGATCCTGAGATTCTGCGTGAATAACGAGAGTTAAGGATGATGTGAAGATGATAATAACAAGAAGATATTTAGGAGGAGTTTGGATAGGAATAAGTAGCCATTAGAATTACACTTTGTACGTTCGCTCTCCACCTCTTGGCATCCTTCGATGTCCAATCATAGTTTGTAAGTTTGGCTTGCTTTCAATTGAACTAAAAAAGACGTTGGGACAAAAGGGAAAAGAAACAAACATTAAAATGTATTATTATTTGTTAAATTTAAAGGTAAAATTGTGATAAACACTAAGAATAATTGGGAGTAAAATAATAAAAAATATTTTTACCTTTTTCCTTTGTATACTTTGTAAGGTCTTGAATGAAGTCTTGTAATCAAGAGGTTTCTTTACAACAAATTATGATGATGGTGATGATGATGATGTTTTTATTTGTAGGGGGAGAACCAAAGTGAAAGGATGAATTAGAAGTATAAGAGGATTGAAGGTTAGGCTCATGAGGATTTACTGAGATTCTGGTGTAAAAGCTATCTAAGCTGAAAAATTTGAGACATTATCTAATCTAAAACAAAAATAAAACATCTCATTGGTGTGTCCATTAATTTGTTATTGTAACTTGAACAAAAGGATAAGGCTTTAAGGGTTAGTATAATAATTTTCTGGAGAGTTATTATCGATTTAAATTAATTCCATTCATTTGATTGAGCTGTTGATTGATCTTAACGAGGCTCATTTAATTTCTGGCTCCTATTACAGCCTAATTAATCTTTGGTTGTATAATTTATTGATAAAAATGTCAATTGAAAATTACAATGCAGTCCCTTAAACAGCAGTTATCTAAACAACGGTTTTGGAAAAATGTAAACATTATTTCGGTTAACGTTGATTCTTATTTGTTTGACATTTAATTGTTAGTTTAAATTACAAAATTCAATGAAAATGGTTTCAGTTGGAGTGTATAAGATGATCTTCACAACCAATAGCTGACAATTGATAAGGTAATTTGAAATAATTTAACTTCTTTTCCATCTTTGCAATTGGTTTTCCCCTTTAATTTTTTCTTCAAACATTTGCCAATTTAAACCTCTGGTTTCTTCCTTCAAGACTCAAATCATTTTCAGTCTCGATTTCATTTGTTTTACGTGCCATCCTTTGGTTAACTTATATTGTATCTTTTTTTGACCAAATTTTTGCATCTTATATTGTTTTTAAAATTTAAATTCTTATTTTTTTGTATCGTTTACGTTTCTCAGCTTATCACAAATCGTCACCACAAGAATGAATTCAGGGACTGGACAGAAATCTGCCTCCAATTTGAGCTCATCTTCCGTTACAAGTGGCCGATCTATAAATTACCAGACTGCGGAATATGGTCAATTTTTTTGGGCTGCTTATTTTCACCAATTGAATCAACCATCATGTCAACAATCAATGGTAAACTTTTCTACACAAGAGGAACCCAAAAATTTAACTCATCCATTAACTCAGGGATCCCATTATTCACCGATATCATCTTCATCTTCATCTTCCTCACCATCTTTATCTTCAAACATGAAGGATTTATGCAGATATAATCCATCTAATTCATTCAAAAATGGAAAGAATCCACAAACTGACAATAATGGCTCAAAATGTAGACCAAATTATGGCAATTGGAATTCAAAAGATGATATCAATAGATACACAGCTAATGGTGTCCGTTCTAATCAATACGCAATTTCTGAGAACTCGGATGGTGATTGTCCACAAAAACTAGATGTAGATGATGACGGTGAAAATAGATACAAGAAAGAAATGGCTGCTGTTATTGAACAAATCCAAAGGCGGGCAGCGTATCAAGGTTACCCGATTATTCAAAACGACGTTACCCGACATGCAAAACCTACGTATAAAAGTCCGCCTAGGGAATATGCTGTTGTTGATGAACACCGAATGGATGAGATTATCGCTAAAGAGTTGGACTTAGCTTTATGTTTATCCAAAAAAGGCCGCAAAAATTCACGCAGTCATCGACTTAATCAACAAACGAAGCAGAAAACTCGTCCAAAGACCGGAAAAAAGTCGAGTATTAAAGATAAATTAATATCCCTTACCGTGGAACGGATAAAGGCAGCTGTATTCAACTGCGGCCCTAATCCACCAAGTCCTCATTTAAACAAAAAATCTGATTATGAAGCGAACCGACAATCCACGCAGAATCGATCATTTCATCAGCCAGAAGCTTGGAATCAGTATCAAGATCTCAATACACTCGGACAATTCCGAACCTCGCAACTCTTGTGTCAACCAAAACCTGAAGTTATGCGTCAACCAGCTGACCTTCAACCCCTTACCCGTAAACCCAAACGGTATTGTACTTGTAAAAAACGCGATTCTCGAATGAACAATGATGCTCCATCATCATCAGCATCAGTATCTAATAATTTTAACGTACCATCAGCTAATTTTAATTCGACTGATCATTCGATTTACGAGCTTCTTCATAGGTAGTTTCAGGCACCACACTATAACTCATCTTAACGACCAAAAGTTCTGCAGAAATGGCATCATCAAGCACAAATTGGTGAAATCGATTTTTGTCTTTATTATTTGCTTTTGATATGAAACAAAATAGGAATGAAGAAACAATAATAATAAACATTTTTAACCAAGTAAAATGTATAGGCTTAGAAGTGTGTTATTTATAGGTAATCCAGTCTAAGCTTATGTCTTTGACTATCAAGTATAACAATTTTCAGAACTTTCTGAACATTCAGATGTTTTTGTTTTCTCATGATTGCAAGTATTTTAAAAAAGGTTAAAAATCCTTCAAACTTAGCCATGACTTTTAGTTTCACTAGATTTACAGCTACTCTACTTATTATCAAAGTTTACCTCAAATTGTTTCAAACGTTTCATTTATTAATAAACATAATTTATTGATTGCTTGTAAAATCAGAAAATTTATTGCCCATGAAAATGGATACTAAAAAACTGAATAGTAAATGAATTGTAAAATGTTTCAAATTACTCTTCAATTTACAGTCAACTATTTTTTCACCCAACAAATGAAATGTAACTGTTTTTTACGGAACCAATTGCATGTGTAAATACTAATCAATTATTAATTTTTAATAAATTCATTTCAAGATTCAATAAGACTCTAAAAATAAATGTTAATCAGTAAATCACACAGAAGATAATTTTATTTGAAACAATGAATTTCAAATTCTGCTTTTCTATTTAATATTTCCCTCGAGATGAAAAATGAAAACATTGAAAATCTAATTTTAAAACTAATCAACTTCATCTTGTTTCTCGATTTTTTCATCATTTCCATCACCGTCCTCATTCATAATAATTTCACAGATTCATTAATAGTTATATTCAACAATTTTAATTAGCTAATTGTGACAATTTAAACCTGGCGCGCTGAAAACCGCAAGTTGAAATGTTGAAGGATGAAAATTATTAGCTGTCAGTGAAGTCTTTTGTTTTGATGTTTTTTGTGTTTTGTCGTCTTTTTTGTTCTTTCTGTGTGTATTTTAAAGTTCAATGACAGTTAATTGATTGATGATGATTGTTATAGTTGATAGTAAATTATTTGTCCCAATTTGTGGCACATTTTTACTTTGCTCTTGTCAACTTTCAACCTTCATTTTCAACCCAAATAGTGTTTAATCTCTTGCCCAAATCAATCCGTCAACAGGTTTACAAAGCTAACCTTTAACCTGCAGTATATTCATACTAAGATTAGACCAGGAAAGGCCTAAAGATATAAGATAAACTAAATGATTATCCTTAACTAACCCAATAACTAAATCAAGTTGACAAAGATCAATGAAATGAGGAAAACATGGACAAAACAGTTGACTTACAAAACTTACATATAAATGAAACCAATAAAAAAAAGTAGACAGCCAAAAGTGACAAAAATATCGCATTACATATGAAACAAAAAGATGAAGCTATAATTCAAAATGAACTGATTGACTTTAAGTTACAAATCAATGGTGTGGATGATACATTGATTGGAAATGAAAATTGTTGCTTCAATTCTGAATATGAAAACATATACATGACCTTTCAATTGGATATGTAAGGGTATACCTTATAAGTTATAACCAATATACATGTATTTATGGATATATGAAACCATCTGTGCCTCTTGAGACCGATAATGATATAAATATATAAAAAAAATTTTAGCCTCAGTGGTTTGATATTAACAGCAACATCAAGTTAAATTGTCTAATACATAAATAAATACATAAAAAACGGGGAAACTTTCAATGAACCATTGCCACTATTATCCTCATCATTACTATCATCATCCTCATTGTCATCTTCATGATTAGCCTTTTCTGGTTGATCCACAGTCTTTTGGACAGGAAAATTATCATTTGAAACAAAAATGAAAATCGAGAGGACCAAAATAAGGTGACAAAACCATCTTTTTGACACACAAATTTCAAAGGGAATTGATCCAATTTTTTTGGAGCCTTCTTTCAATGGTTCCTGTGTATTATGGTCTACCAATGGACTGAAATCTTTTTGGTAAACTGCAGCTTTAAAGACTGTCTTACTTTTTCAATCATCCTCATCATCCTCATTATCCTGTTCACATTCATCTTGATTGTCTTCCAATAATTGGCTTCCTCCGCATAGATGGATTATGGTGATATACTTTGTGTACAATGTAACCGTAAGAATGGCTTTTAAATCCTGGTTTTACCCGTTAACCTAATCTGTATAAAGGCAAACCTTGAGAGGACGCTTTTTTAACCATTTAAATTATCATATCAGCAAACATAATTTAGCCAAGTAAATCTAATTTACAATGAAAATACAAAAATTAGTAAACAAATTGATAGGAAACCCAAAAAAACACACAAACAGTAAACTGTTTCAATGCAACATAAAGTAAACATGAGACTATCTCATTTACAATGACTTATATAAACTCTAATTTACTTACCATTGATATTTTACCACCAGTTTAAGATTTAATTGTCTTCATTTGATGATGTTTCAAAAGCTGGTTTGTTTGTAAATTGATTGTTGAACATAATGAGTTGATGTAGAGTCGACTTGTTGACATTTATTTCAGTTTGATTGTTGATGCCAGCTGATCTTGGTGCAACAAATGAATGAAAGATGAATCTGTATTGATGTTAATATTAAATAGCTGAGGTTGTTATAAGAAAGGTAAACAAGAAAGGAAAAAGAAAGTATATAAGTCGAAAAGATTTTACAGGTTTTATGTTTCTCTTACCTTTCTTATATACAGGTATCAACAAGATGATAGTAACATATTATTCAGTTTCATCCTGTCTCTATCCTGGCCAATCCATGGGATCCACTATAGATTTAAGACAGATTTAGCATAGATTTAGTGTTGAACACTTTGTGTTGTCTTACTTATTCTTTGTCTCATTGAATTAGTATTACAATTTTGAGTATCAAGGATCAACATTTGTATTACATTTTTTCCTTTTTCTTGGTTTTCTCTTGCTGTTCACCATTTATTCAACCTTCAATCTCATCAATAAAGCTTACCGTTTGATTGTTTTCAAAACATTATCATTGTTAAATACAACAGTTATGATCCGATTATAAAATGTATGTAAATTAACATTGAACAACCATTGATTAATCAGCAAAAGTGATCAATAAAATTTCAATAACATTTTACCAGATTTGCTTGTTTACATTTTGTCTTTGGCGCTATTAGTCTTTATTTGGTTTCTGTGGGTTACACTTCTGACCTTAACTTGTATTTATCTTGTTTCATTTTGTTTTTTTGTATATACTTTTAAGATTTTACAGTTTTTAATGATAATAAATGAATTTAGGGTGACATTGAAATGTAAAGATTATCTTGTTGTGAATAATAACCATTGGAAAGGACCCTTTTTTGGTTCTACAAGATAGTCATTGTTGCCCAACAAAAACTGGTCCTTTCACATTGCTTTTTAAATGTTGTTACGCTTATTATTGAGGGTCTTGATGTTCACTTTTTTTCTTCACCCGTTAACGCACAAACGAACACATTAGAGGCTTTGTTGTGAAGATGAGGAGAATGATGAGGCTGATGATGAAGAGGGAATCAGAAGCCGGAAAAGATTAGGATCATGGTAATCGGATTGAGAAAGTGACTAGTTATTTAAACTTATTTATCCGCCCATTAAACTTATTACCAATTTAAGGTTAAATAATGATACCAACAAAAAAAACCTAAACACACATTTATAAGAATATAATAATATCATAATAATCATTCTATTATGAGCAAAATTTGATTCAATGTTAAGCAAGTAAGAGAAGGCTTTTTTGTTGGTTCATCTTGTTGACTATCATGTTTCTTGTTTGTACCCTTGGGTTCAAGTTGAATAACAAAGGTTTCGGCTATTCATTGATCACTATTGCTGCATTTGTTTATGGGTCAAATGAGGCTGATTAATCGGGTCCATCATAATGGTAAGTTAATCGCATAATCACAATAATTTGAGATAATTCCGCTTTATTTTTGAATAAATCAATTATTTCACTTGTTAAGGATTGACACAGGCTTAATTATTAGAAGATGGTCCCCCATTTTTACCGCCCTCGTCATTTTGTTTACATAATTTTTTGAAGCTTTTGTTTTCAAGTTGACTCGTTGTTTCCCTATCAAGTTATATTTTATTGTTAATGCATGATTGATTTGAAATTTTCAGTGTTTAAGTTACTTTGCAATAGTTTCCATAAATACATTCAATATTACAGATGGTTTGTACAAGTTTGGATAAACTGATCGAGTTATATCTTTTGGAGATTTTCATCTTCTGACCAACATCAAGTCTATCGAGCTTTTGGTTTAAGAGTTTCAGCTATTCTCATGGTTTTTTGGAATCAGGTTTGAACGAAGCAACTGTGGATTTTTATATTAAACAAGCAACATTTGGACTTATTAATCTCAGCTTCAGGATATGGTTTGGATCAGCGTTTAATATTGTTGCATTTGAATGGCTAAATAATCCAATTGTTTCTTGGCTCATCAACACGAAAATGAGAGTTGACTGGATATGATCAATTATAATTTGTGATACACATTGTACCAAAACCAAAAGCAAACCCATAATTGCTATTATTCTGATTGTGTGGTTATTTTTGACATGCATTTAGGTATGTGTTTATTTAACTCAAAAATTAACATGATAATTTTGATTTTGTATTCATTTATCTTATTTTTTTCTGTTACAGTAATAAGTTTGGATCCCTCGAGATGATACAAGATATTACTAACAAGACTGAAAAAGATACAAAAAGATGTTAACTAGGAACAAGTGAAAATGATGATCAACAATAACAATAAACAGCAAAAGTAGGTGATGAACATTGGACCATTTTATTTTGATATTAAAAAGAGAGAGGTGAAGGAGAAAACAAAGATACTGATGAGGAAAATGATGGCTCGATGAAAATGATGAAGATCGGAGGAAAAAGAAGAAGAAAAGAAATCAAAAATGAAAATAGTTAAAAGTAAGTGAGGTGTTGACAATAAGTAGATGTGACTGTTTGCCATTCATTTTATCAAAGGTTGGTCACACTGGGAGGGAATTAAAACCTCCTGGGATGAAATTGGCCTTCAAAATGTTCAAGAAGTAAAAATGTTCTTTTTTTTCTTCTTCCCTCTCTCCTCTCTGCTTATTGATGCTTCATCTTTTCTTCATCATCATCCCCTTTCTTTGGTAAAACTAAACAAAAGTATTATTAAAAGACACAACATTCACCAAAATGAACACTCACATTCAAGTTGACTCAAATGAAATTTTTTTTCTTCTCCTTCTCTTTCTACAGTTTCAACAAGGAACTCGTTCAATGTATATATCCTTCCAATATCACCTTTAACTCAGTTCATGACAAAGTTTCCCTGCTGATTGTCACCATTTTCAATATCATTTGATTAACATTTGGCTCACAACAGGCACTTTGTTATGTGTCTATGCGTTATTTATCAACCTTATAATATATCATTTATAAACATACATACAGTATATTGAAGGGAAACGTTTTAATCAATGAATCTGAAGCATTGATTAAAATTAAAATTAGATGAAAATTATATCTAAAATGGCAAGGGAAACAAATCTTTCAATAATATTTAAATCAAACTCCTCAGTTGATTATTTGGTTTACGTGAGTTGCAACTCTTGTAAATTGTCATCGTGATTGTTTATCATAAAATCGTATGTTATCACCTTCCCATGCAATGGTAACCATGGAAGGCAACATTCATTATTAATTACACAGAACTTTGAATGATAATTAGATGAAGCGGAAAGAAACAAGCAAAAAGAAAGTTTTCACCTTTTCATGTGATGATAATAATGAAGGTTATTCAAGGTAAAAAAATAATAATGATAATGATGAGTCTTTTTACAACTCTTTGGTTTTTTTCATGATCTTTTTCTTCTTCTATTTTTCTCCTTCTTAATCCATTGAATAATCCATCGTAATCCTTGTAGCATTATCTTTGAGTACTTTGAGATCATTTTTATAATCCAAGTGATTGCGCTGTAACTAGCGTCTTAAACTGTTTATAGCGGATTAAATTAGATACCTTTAATGTAATAATTTTTACTTTTATTTGTTTTCTGGTTTCAATTTTTACAAAAGCAAAACAAAAAGTGAAAATTGCTTGAAAAATTGAAGTCAAAAGCAACAATCAATTGATGATTATTTTATAATTTAAATTGTAAAACACGAGTTTATGTTTAAATTTAGATTAAGGTTGATAAAGGGTGCAAATTATTTGTGAATAATTAATGATATTGAAAATGGTAAACATGAGGTGAAACAAATTGAGAATTGGCTATTCCTATGATTGCTGTGTTCACCAGATTATCTTATTTGAATCATGATTGTTTTGATTATCCTGCTCATCAACTTTCCTCTTTGCTCATTCCAGTGACAACTTAATTGAACCTTTAGGTTGAAGGGTAACAACAGGAGCAGCAGAATCATCATCATCATCACCAGCAACAGCAACAACAACAACAGCAACTCCAAGAGGAAACTACAAAACACCAATAACAATGATAATAATAATAAGATGAATGTAAAAAGATTGACTCGATGTTTTGACAGTCAATGTTTTAAGCTTGGATTGAGACGTTTGGATCTCATCATCTCAAGGGAAATACCAAAGCAAATAATATAATGAGAGATGAGATGACAATTTTCATCATCTTCTATACCTTACAGATGAGGATAATGTTGAGCATCATCATCATCATCATTTTCATCATGAGCAACAAAGATTAGAATCATATAGATGAACAAAAATAATATTCATTCTATACCAAATATTATTTTACCAAGCAACATTTATTTCAATAAATTGCGTTCATCTTTGATAAAATAATCATTAATATCATTATTATCATTGTTACAGGTAAACAATACATTTTTTTCCTGTTTATATTTCACATTACAATTGTTTGATAATCAAATTGGTTATCAAAGAAACATGTTTACTCTTTCATCTTGACTAACTTGTTACGTTTAATGATCCTTAGCTGTATGAGTAAGTTATTACAATGTATTAGACGGTAATCATAGGAGTAAAAAGGTGAAACCAGAATTTATATAAATTTAAATTCTAACTCTTTCCATGATTCATTGTGAAAAGGATGATCATCATGTTGTTGTTATTACCTTTAACTCGTTAAATGTATCAAAATACATTAGGATGTTGCCAGGGTAAAGAAGAGAGCGAAACAGTTACATTGAGAATCTTTTTTTTCTTGTTGTCTTTCTATTTGTTTGTAAACATTGAAGAAGGAAGAATATAAAACTTGAATTGAAACTGAAATAAGGAATCAGATGAAAATGCATTATTAGATTGAAAAAAAGCATCTAAAGGTAACCAAAGAAAGTAGGGAAAAAAGCTTCAAACCAAATTTACTCGTTGATTATATGAAAACATTTCTAAAGCAAATTCAGTGATTGCTCTGGCAAAAAAAGAGGAAGAAAATGATGATCATTTTCATCATGTTCATGGAAACAAAAAAAGGTATAAAAACATTGAGTATTTATAACCTATAGCTATGAAATAAAACCCTATAAAAGGTTATTCTGTTGTGCTCATGATGATAATGATGAGATTGATAAGATGAGTTTTCTGTCTCTTTCTTTCCTCTGTTCATCTTCTGTTTTTTCCTTCTCTTCATCAATCGATAATAGTCACTGTGTAACAATCAATAGGAGAAAAGAAAACAGATTGGAATCTTGCAGAATTCATTCTTTCTGAATGAAGTAGATAAAAATTCTGAAGCCCAAATGAATAAAGTAAACTTAATTCCAGGTAAAAATCATTTGTCTCTATCAATGTTAACCTTTTCTTTGTCTTTCATTATTCTCATCATTTCCTTTTCAATCTCTTTTCTTTCCTCCTTTTATTATAGCCAACAATTTCCTGAACTTGAACATTATTCCGAGTTTCTTTTGGTACAATTATGAATCTTGATTTGGACCCAAGATGACAAAATTTCAATCAACTGCAGTTGCAATTAAAACTTGTTACACTCATTTTTTGCTGCTCCCCATGGGTAACATTACCATGATTTGTTGATGATAATGTTAAATGTCATAATGACAATTGGAAACTCTTTGAATTACTTGTCGACTATTTCACCATTTGGGAGTTGAACTTTTAATTATTATCATTATTACAAGTGTGGAATGATTAAAAATTTAAAGCATCATCAAAAAAAAGGTTGAATTACATTCAGTTAACTAACCTTTTTTTTGTTTAATGATGAAGTGGCAAAGCTTGGTTGTAAACTAAATAGGCAAAGATATTAATGTTTTTTTTCTCGTTTCTTGTCGTTTTTTAGACTTTCTTACTGGCATGATAAAGATGAGGCGGAAGAAGATGACAAAGATGAAAAGAAGACCATTCAACTTGTTTCCATGGAGGTTTGAACAACCCAAGCAGCCTTAATCCATCACAGATGCTGATGAAGATGGCAATGTTGATGATGATACTGATGATGATGGTGACGATGAAAGAGTAAAGTGAAAAGGAAGGTCAAAAGAAGAGACTATAAATCAAACGATTGGAAATGGAAATGATGAGAAGAAAATCTTGGCGAAAATAAGTTGAGCTTCAATTGTTTCTTCAATTATCTTCTTCTTTCATTTTCATTTTTTGACAAATGAAATTTTTAACTCTTGCTGATGTATTTGTTATGATGATGCCTGTCATCACTCTCACCATCATCATCATCTTCATTATCCTCAAATCTTACCTTTTTGTTTTCCTCTTGTCCCTGACGATTCTCAATTTTTGATGAACATTTTTAAGGCACTATGAATCCTAATAGTTACTTGAGATTGTGAAAAATTGATCTTCATTTTTTTTCTTTTTCTCCTCTTTTTTATATTATTATTATTTTTACCTTTATAATGATGAATCACGTTTTTATATCCACATCATCATCATCTCATCATAACTTTCACCATTAGATTTCATCTTCACCTTCATCTATCTTGCTCTATTAGGTTACCTTCATCTCAACTTTTAATATCACCGTTATTTTATTTCTTGCTTAAGCTTTGTAACATCATTATCAGTGAAAATGATGATGATAGCCATGATCATTATCTGAATCTTTCATGATCATTGTTCATGGGAATGAGTTGAGTCAAGGAAAGATATACCAATAAGGGAATGCTTGGAAAAATCTTCATTTCAATGTTTCCATAATATTAATGGTCATTAATTATTCTGCCTTCTCTGTATACATTAATATATTTGTACATCGTTCATCATTCACGGTTATTTTTTTGCAAAAAAGGTCTATTTTATTTTCATCATCAACGAATCGATCAATCAATTGATTGTGGCTTAATAATGTATTAATTTTGCTTTTCCCGTTTGTCTATTTTCAGTAAATTTGTGAGTCACACCGCGATTAACCGAGCTTTAATGTAGTAATCAACTGATTTTGGCCATTTTTTTGTTTTTACTCAAAAAAATTGTCTTTATTTTTGTAATTTACTTTCAAATTTTCTTCCATAAGAAGCTTTTTTTTTGGGATTTTGCTTTTCACGTAATTTGATTGGTTCCTGGATATCACATTATTCATCTTCTTTCTTTCAGTTTATCACCATGATCATCATCATTGGTGTTTCTTGGATGATATTACTGCTGATGATCATTAGTCTGTTGGTTTGGTGATTATGTTGGTGTTGGTGTGATTGATTATTCAGCACAAAAGACTATCCAGATTAAATCACAGATAGATTATACAATTAAAAGCTGTGAAGATGAAGAATCTAATTTTTTTCAGAAGTTTTCAGTCTTTGATAGAGGAACATGGTTAAGATGATTGGTTGATGATGATAGGTAATGATGATATGTTGACGAAAGAAGCATTGAATTTGTGATATGATTTAGTTAATATGTTTACAGTAGTAAGATAATTTTATTTACCAATTGTAATAAAACAAAATGTTCAATCATTTATGTTCAATTTTGAATATCTTCATCTCCACCATAGTCACCATTTGAGTTTTCATTATTGTTATTGTTTTAGCTTATTAAGGGTTTTCAGCTTAATTTTGATTTCATTTGACTAATTGAGTCGACATCTCATTGAGTTGATATGAAGTTTAATGGCGATGAAAAAATGGTGTGCGATGGCTTTGTGATGTGCAATGATGATGGTAACATTATTTATAATTATAATTATATATATATTTATATGGATACAGATACATATATAATTGATTCTGGCTTTTCTTCCTTCTCTCAACGCTCTGAATGTGATTAGTATTAGTTGTATGATATTAATATTAATAGTAAAAGTGAATTGCTTCTGTTACCATTAGCAGTGACTGTGAGTTGTTTTTTTAAACATTTACTGATATACCTTTCTATCCTCTATGCTGGTATAACTGTTTATTGAATTTGGTGTTTTTGCGGGATTGTAATAATTGTTACCAGAATTTTGAAAGGTTCCATTGAGACTTGTAGTCGGTGTTTCACCAAAACAAGATACTCCTTGAGCACTTGCTGTTAATGGGTTAACAGTGTTACCAAAACTATTCCAAAATCCTTGTGGATTCAACGGGTTAGCAATTTTGGCCCAATTCGTGTAAGAAGAGCAACCAGAATAGAGAGCTTCCTCAGTGAATGAATGTAACAGACCATTAAACTGTGATCCTAAGCTATTTTTTACATCTACAACTACATGACGTTCACGTTTACGCCATTTAGCACGACGATTTTTGAACCAAATCTGTAAAATAAACAAGAAAGGCACGAGAATTAGATACTAATCAATAAATTAAACCAATCAAAATACAACAGAGTGTATTAATAAGAAAAAATTAACATTAAACCCTCAAGATATGTTTATTTGTAAGGCATGAACTGATAAAAATGAAATGTTAACTTGAATAAATTCAATCAAGATCTTAATACTTCTGTGTGTAACTAATCAAGTCTTTAAAATTGTTGAACAATGTTATAATCACAATTAAAGTTAAAGACACTCAAAAATAAATGTAACGTTAAGACACCTTTTATTAGCTATGGTTGCTTTGGAGTTAAATTTTGAGGATTGCGCCTTTTGTTTGATAAATGATTTCTTGTTTGCTCAACAAAACAAACACTATCAACCTCTTCTTGAGTTTTTGTGTTAATTGTTTCTTTAATCATTTGTTTTTTATTTATAGTTTAGAAATGTACACTTACCCTGATTCTGGGTTCAGTTAGATTGGTCCACATGGCAATTTCCTCTCGCGTTGACATATCTGGATAACGATTCCTATTAAAAACAGTTTCTAACTCTTGGAGCTGTTGACTAGTAAAATGCGTTCGCTGTCGACGGGTACGTTTCTTTGTTTTGGAATCTTCACCATCAGTTTCTTCACTATCATTACCAGTTATACTTGATATTTGAGTTGGTTTAGTATCCATTCCATCGCCACTATCTATTAATATAAATTAGAAATTTAAAATTAAATTAATTGGTTGCTCAAGAAATATAAGGTAAACTCTGTCGAGTTATTCTGCTTATGAATTTTGAATCAACAAACATATTCTCTCCTTAATGACAGTGTTGTACACTTTTTAGATTAACACTTTAATAACAAAACTAATGATCAACTTGTTAATCACTATCTTTCCTCACTCTGTTGAGAGTGACGTTGAAACATTTTTTGGTTCAGATGATAATTGAAAAAAATAATCTCAACTCATCTACTCTTCAAATTACACTTGCTTTTTAATCATAACAGTTCCAAATTGTCCTCACAAGACTTCAGAGTAAACATTAAGTTAACCAAAAACTTTAATTATGAGGTTAAAACAAATTCAACCCACCTTGTAATCATCATTAGTTGCAATTGTTGCAAATTATTAATGAAAGTATAGCTCAAAAGAATGAGAAAGCTTCCAAAAAAGTCGGCCTTTTTCAAAGATAATGAAATTAGTCACAATTATTGCAATAAATGGTAAAAAAACAGATAAAAGTCATATTCTGGATAGAATAAAATCAGAAGCAAATAATAAGTTACCTGAATATGATAAATGTATTAACAAATCAAACAAGCTCGCATGATTAATAATTATCCATATCTTCTTCGGGTAATCTTTTTACAAGGATTAACTTGGATTAACTCTTAACTTGAAAGAAGGTAACGCAATTATTTCATTTTGATTACTAAAATTGTACACCTTGAAAGGCTAAAAGCCGTCACAATCTAAGGTTCAGTTGAAAACTGTAGATGAACCAGAAGCACCGACACAATATAAACAAAAATAACAGATACACCAATAAGTCGTTACTAAGGGAAACTGGTTAACTGAAGGAAGCGAAAACATTAACAAAATCAAAGACAATCTTATCATTGAAATCTTACCCTTTCGTCATCTTTTGTTAGCTCAATTAATGCTGACATGTTAACATTAACATTGAACATTAGTTACAAAATGAACTAAAAAGATGATTCAAAAGGACAGAAATTTTCACCGCCAATTTGGCTACATTAACCGCAAAATTGATAGCCAATAGGAAAGAGGCATTTTATTGTAAACCAGATTACCAGAAAACAAAAGGCTTTTGGAAGAGACAAAATGGCTGAACCAATGATTAACACTTTTTTTTCCTTCTCAAGTTTCAATTTCTCGTCAATTTTGTTCAAGATTCATTTTCATCTAAATTGTCTTGTTATTTTATCTAACTATCTGTTTGATTAGTTAAGCATTCAACATCTTCTTCTGAATTGAGGATTGATTAAACCATTTATCAAGTGAATTTTATGTTGTATCACAGCGTTTCCGATTCAAGGCTGATATCGGGACTGGTTTACCATTACTCTAACAGCATGGAAAAACGTTAAAAGCGTTGTATTGATTAAATACACATTATTCTGGTAAGTGTTTATCTTCCATTATTAATAATACTATTCTGATTAGCTTTTGGTAATTTATTGATTAAACCTAAATCTCATCTCTTTATGTCGGTAACAAGGTTAGCTTTTTACATTTTGTATTTGAACGGTACTTGAAACCAACATGTTCCGTTTCTTGTTTCCTTTTAGGTGCTCTCTTTTTTAAACATAGGCAAACATTGTTACACATAAAAGAGTACACATGAAACCAACTTGAATTTCTTGTCTCTCTCTATGTTTGCAGGTTTTTCAAAGAGATGTTCAGATTTGTATTCATAGAGAAGGAAAAATATGTTTAGTATTATCGTCACAATCATCATCATCATAATGATAATCATACTGTTGATGATGAAAATGATGATTATTGCTTGTTGATTGTCGGTTTCTTTACCAATCTCCCTGTGAACATGAAACACTTAACTTTACTCAAGAGCGTATTAATGGAAGGAATCAAGTGCCAAAGAGAAGATTTCTTGTTATTGAGTAAGTTAATAGATACAATCATGGAAAAACATTCATTTTCAGATACAGATATAGTCATAGACAATAATTAACTAATTAAATACAACTTTTTTTGTATTAAGGTACTTCATTAATTAATCCAAAGGGATTTAATCAACTTGTCATATTAACTGTATTACTTTGATGACTAGACTTACGCCATTTGTTTTAGCTTTTTGTTACATTGTTTGGCTTTTCCTGCGGCTAAATTTCAAATATCAATCACAATTATCTGCCTCTAATCAGTCAAATGATCTACAAATGCGAATAATTTTTCTCTTTACTTTTTTTGCCAAGTTTAAGGGTGTTGGTCAGATTGAGCAAAAAGATTTGAGCAAAATCCGTTTGCGCTAAGAAGATTTGAGCAAATTTTGCTCAAAAATTGTTGATAATTTTCAGAGATCATTCTTAAATTTTTAGATCATTCAAGATCCTACAAAAAATATATCATATTAATTTTATAATCGCTAATAACATCTAATGAATGGTCAAAATCAATAGAACTGTCGATAAACTGAAAAAAGTGTTGAAACATTGGTGTGTACCAACAATTTTTATCCACGAATGATAAGTTTAAGCTCTAACTTTTACGGCCACAGAAAGCAGTCGATCTAACTGAAAATCGAAGTGATCGGCTGTACGTTTTCTGATTTTTCATCGAAATTTACATCATTTAATTGAGTTTGATGAAAAATCTGCTTCCATAATTGAACAAAAGCCGGTGAAAGTTTCAACTTTGATCTCGATTATCGCAAAAACTAAACCTGAGTTTAAAATTGTGTTTGCTCTAATCAGTTTTGCTCTTAAATGTCTTAGCGCAAAAGGTTTTTGCTCAAAGCTCTTTGCTCAAAATAACCCAAATCAAGTTTAAGCTTAGGCCTAGGAAAATTGAGCCAACATTGCTAGTCAAGTTCAACTGTTAGTCTGAAATTTGTGAGCCAGATTAATTGTAATCAAAGTGATGTGTTAGGAAAAGCAATTTGTTGTAATAACTTTAGACACACTAGACACTATTATCAGTAAATTGTAAGGTTTGACTTTTTTATGTTACACTGTTTAAACATGTATTGTGGTACAGCCATTAGGGTAACATTGATTTTGAATGATTTATTGTTGAAAGTAGCAGCAAATTGTTCATTGAATATCAACATTGTACGCTGTAAACATTGATGACAAACAACATTACGATCAAGACTAAAACTGGCGAAGGTCAATCAGCCATTTTTTGCTGTTCGTCTAATATTTTCGTCTTTGGTGGTCAATGGTTTTGTCGAGCTATTTTATCAACCATTAAGCCTTATTTTTCTCTATTTCTACTAATAGGTTAATGGTTTCACATTGCTGTTTTCATGAGACCAAGAAAAAGTGACGACGATTACTGCACTGACAAGCTGACCTTAACAATTATTTAGACTATCAATGACAGTTTTTCGTGGTATTTGATTAGCAAAATGACAAGCTAGATCAGTTTTCATTAATGTTTCTGGATTAGAAAAATGTCTTTCTTTTATAACGACTTTCTGGCTCAACTATTCTGTTTAACATTAGCACAGTTACTAATTAAGTGTTGACAGAACTGACCAGATTATCATTTTTAAATTAATATTTTATATATGCTAATATTTCGCTTCTTTTCATCACTTTTTATTTTCTTTAAAAATTGAAATCTCATTTCATCTTGTAATACATTACATAGATTTACATTGATCAACATTTGATTGCGTGATTTTCAAACCATAATAGCTAAATTTTTGGTTTGACATTAATCTAACTGAAATGAACACGACAAGCTTTGATATTTGATATTTTAAATGTTTGATAGCGAGAAAAATGTATTATGAATAATTTAGATGCAAATTTATACATTTTCACTCCCAAAATTAAATGATATTAATCAAACTTATTGCAGCAATATAAATGTATTCAGCGATTTAAATGGTGTATTCATTTAGCAAAGACAAATAAATCATTCTGTGATAAATCAACTTGTGCTTGTCATTCAATATATCAAATTGAGTAACTTGATTGATTTCATGATTCTATAAACAAGTTCCAACTTAAATATATTAACTGAAGTTAAGGTTGAGTCACCCTTGATGACTCTTCAAATTGATAAAATGTGATAATCTAAAAGCTCGATCAGTGAAACTTGCATTGATTTCACCTGATTTCAACTTTTAGGGACATAAGAATTGGAACTATTCGGTTAATTGAAAATTTCTCTGATCAAAGATTTTCGATGAAATCGCTTTCAAAATTCAAACTTGAATTTCAATTTGTTCAGCTGTAGAACCAGATTTTTTTGTTATTTTTTAGTCTTACTCATTTACGATGTTTCTTTTTCTAGTTACTTATCACTTGGTTCGTGTAAATCAATTGTCGAGCAAATGTTTGATAAAGTTTATATTAATAACTTTCTTATTAACTCAATACAGATCTTACCCTTGAAGCTATCAATGAGGTTGGTTTTAGTCAAATACCTTGTTTGATCGAATTAAGGAAATGTACTTAAATTTTTGCAGATAAACTTATTTCTATTGCGAATCAATCGGAATGATGTTGGATTCACATTCGCTGATCTTTGCCTGGTTTCACACAGTTTTGTTTCATCTTTGGTTCCGTTTGGTTTAGCTTTGCCTAGTTTTATTGAATGATTAGAATCAACCTTTTAATTATTCAAGCTTACTCAGTTCTGTTATTTTAAATATCGAATTCATTAATTGTTCTGGAGTCGAAAGTAAATTTAGCTCTGTATCTTCTCTGTTTTTTCAGCTCATCATCTTCATATCTTTTTTTCTTGCCTCTTTTTTACCCTTTCTTTTGTTTTCTTGCTGTTTCTAAGCAAAAATTAATTCCTAAATTCTGATTGATTATCAACTGAAATGATATCAATAATATCAACATGGTAAACTACGTCAACTAACTTACCATTTCATTGTAATCAGAATACAAAGTCCTTTTTGTTTGCTCTTTTCTTACATCTTTTTTCTTGTTCCATTTTAGATTAACCTTTATTATTAACTTCAACTTTGATTTGATTTTCATTTTACACTCAAAGTTTCAATCAATATTTGATTAACTTGGAGGAAATTTCATGAATAACTTGGTCAGGCTGTAAAAGATTACAGTTTCACGTTTAAAATTGATGCAGTTTTAACCTTTCAAATACCTAAAGTGGCTAACACAGTATGAACCTTTCTTATTTTTTACTGACTTGCTTTGATACAATTTTAACCCATTCCCTGATTTGTTCAAATTTATATTTAAATTCACCGGATTAACACCTTTATTACAATTCCAGTTTTTATTTGGTCAAATTTCAATTTCAATGTCAATATAAACCAGTTTGAACCTTCACCTTTCTCCTGTTGTAATCTGCAACATCAACAATTCCCTTGGTCACTATTTTTCCTGCTTTCAATGCTCAATGATATTAATAATAATAGTTGCTGATGAATATTATTCTATTCAATTAATCATCTTATTCTCAATGGTCATTTTATCTGTAATCATTTTACAAATGTAATCATTGTTTACATACTAATTGAACCGTGTTTGAGACAATTTGATTTGTTGTCAAGTAAAAACCAGTAAAATGATTAATGATTTTGCATTGTTGCGCTGTATTTTTGTTTTAATTTGTCCTTTATAATGTGAAATGGGAAAAACTAAATAAAATAAATCTGGTTCTACAGCTGAACACAATGAATTTATGTAAAACTAATCAATAGTCTAAAGGCGTTGTTTCAAGGAGGAGTTTTAAAAATTGATATTTTTGTTGATTCATTTTTCTATCTTTTTATTCAACAGGCTTAAAATGAGCTAAACTGGATTAAGCTTACCTGGTCGCTTTTTACATGGATCAGGAACAGTTGTTGAACAAGAAGGTGACTGGTGAAGTAAAGGAGTTGTCGTTGAAGGACTACCTGAACCACCTCCATTGCCACCTGGATTTGAGTCAAGATGAGAGGGTAACCGAGTAAGATTAGAGTTCAATGAGGTTACTGTGGATGAAGCAGCAGCCACGGCGGCGGCTGCTGCCGCAGAGGAAACATTTTGTGGAAACCCTGGAGTTGGATGAGTGTAAAAATGAGGATGAGCTGAAGGAGATGAAGAGATAGATGACGATGAAGGAGCACCCGAAATGGTTGAGAAAAGTGATGAAACATGATGAGCACTGGGATAATGAAGGGATTGGCTTGTCGATAAAGTCCGTGGATGGTGATGATGAGAATGATGTGGTCCAGTTGATGGTGGATTGATTGCGTTAACAGTTGAATGGATGGCGTGTTGCATTGTTACCAATGGATGGTGGTGTTGATGGTGATGGTGAAGGACTGAGGAAGAGGAGGAAGAAGACGATGATGATGACGAGGAGGAGGAAGATGGGGGCGGAATATGATGGTGTAGGTGTTGGTGTTGTTGTTGGTGGTGGTGTTGCTGTAAATGAAGTGAATTTAATGAAGGTTGCTGGTGATGGTATACTATTGAATGGTGAGTTGAACCTGTACTTGATGGTGGCACTGAAGAAGATGATGATGAATTAGAGTTAGATTGATTGTGAGCCGGATGATCACTTAGATTTTCAGTTGGTGTCACTGAAGGTGAAGATGTTGAGCTTTGGCCTCCAACTTGTTGTTGATGTTGTACTCCTGAATTATCAACTGACGATGAACACGAACCTAGATGTGGATGAGTGTTAAGAAGAGCTGAAGATGATGAACTCTGGACTCCTTGAGATGCTTGTGGACCAACTAAATCTTGTAAACACAATGGATCCGATGAAAGGGAATCCATTTAGCAGTTAAAGATATTAATAATGTAATTATTTTTTCGCTTTAGCTGTTGTCGTTGATAATAACGAGGTTGATGGTACAAAATAAACGGCACGGAATTGATGAATCTGCAAGTCAAAATGAAACAAGTTGATTGTTAGTATAGATCAAGACAATTGGCAACTTCAATCCAAGGTAAATGTACAAAAAAATGTAAACAAAGTAACTCGATGTAAAATGTTTATCATCAAATTATCCCTTTCTTCATTCCAAGTAATATTGTTTTAAAGTAACCTTTTGCTTTGTTGAATCTTTTTTCACTTTGATCACTTGACAAATAATACTAATCATAATAATTGGGTTGAAGATAAAAGGTGTTGATGATGATGTCTTATGAACATCTTAAAATCTGTAATTCTTGTTTGCTACTTTTATTATAATTATGATTTATTTTCTTTCTCTTTCTTCAGGTTTCTCTCACTGGAACTCTCATCTTCTCACTTTGTCTTTATCTTTATCTTCCTTTTCGCTCAGTGTCGCATTTTAACTCTTCAAATGAGTAAAATCAAACAAAAGCAAAAGGTAACTTTAATTGACTTTATTTAGTTAAATGAGGGAGAAGATTTCATCTTACCTCATGACAGTGTCTTTCCAAGGAGCTGATGATAATGAGAATGATGAGACAAGGGATTAAGATGAAGATAAGGGATGAAAAAGGACTATGACGATGAAGGAGGAAAGGCAATACAAAGAGACACTTTTGTAAGGCAACACACAGAACTGCAAAGTTTACTCTTTTTTTCCTCGTTTCTAATGTTATTTTTGTATTTTTGCCGACTTTTTTTTCCTCTCTTTCTTTCTTACTCTCTCTACTGCAACAATAACAGTAAAAGGTAATCAAAATGCGAACAAATCTATGGCCAAAGATGAGTCTCTCCTGTACTCATCCTCATCCTCATCGTACTCACTCAACTCCACTGTTTACCCAGTCTGATAATACAATTTGGTTCACATTTATTGGTTAATTGTGCTCAATTTTGGTGGAGTCTAACAGCTTTCAAAGATTCCATTGGTTGTAACCTCTTGTTTCCACCCATCAATGGGAGTGACGCCAATTATTTCATCTTCCTTTACCATCATCATCATGATCATCATCACCACCACCACCATTGCCATCATCTTCATCATCATGATCATCATCGTCAACATCTTCCTTTTCTGATTAACTTTGTTTCTTTTTCCTCTTTTCTTCTTCTTCTTTTTTCATCTCATTTTATTCATTTTCATCAACCTTTATCATCTAAACCTTTTTGGGAGGATGAAAGAGAGATGATTATGATGTAGTTGTTGTTGTTGGTGATGATGATGATGAAAATAAGAAAGTAAATTTAGCTCTGTATCTTCTCTGTTTTTTTTCAGCTCATCATCTTCATATCTTTTTTTCTTGCCTCTTTTTTACCCTTTCTTTTGTTTTCTTGCTGTTTCTAAGCAAAAATTAATTCCTAAATTCTGATTGATTATCAACTGAAATGATATCAATAATATCAACATGGTAAACTACGTCAACTAACTTACCATTTCATTGTAATCAGAATACAAAGTCCTTTTTGTTTGCTCTTTTCTTACATCTTTTTTCTCGTTCCATTTTAGATTAACCTTTATTATTAACTTCAACTTTGATTTGATTTTCATTTTACACTCAAAGTTTCAATCAATATTTGATTAAATTGGAGGAAAGTCAATGAATAACTTGGTCAGATTGTAAAAGACTCACGTTCAAAATTGATGCAGTTTTAACCTTTCAAATACCTAAAGTGGTTAACACAGTATGAACCTTTCTTATTTTTTACTGACTTGCTTTGATACAATTTTAACCCATTCTCTGATTTGTTCAAATTTAGATTTAAATTCACAAGATTAACACCTTTATTACAATTCCAGTTTTTATTTGGTCAAATTACAATTTCAATGTCAATATAAACCAGTTTGAACCTTCACCTTTCTCCTGTTGTAATCTGCAACATCAACAATTCCCTTGGTCACCATTTTTCCTGCTTTCAATGTTCAATGATATGATGAATATTATTCTATTCAATTAATCATCTTATTCTCAATGGTCATTTTATCTGTAATCATTTTACAAATGTAATCATTGTTTACATACTAATTGAACCGTGTTTGAGACAATTTGATTTAATGTCGAGTAAAAACCAGTAAAATGATTAATGATTTTGCATTGTTGCGCTATATTTTTGTTTTAATTTGTCCATTATATTAAATTGTAATAACATCTTGACTCTCATATTTGTGCGTGTTTGACATTATTTCACACCCAAATGTATCATTTTTTCACAATTTCTGGTTCATTCTTACCTTTTAAATCATTTTGAATTTACCTTTTAAATTTACTCCCAGTTTTGTCTTGAAATTTCAAGCTTGTGTGACTGTACAAGTATAAATGGCTCTTGAATGATCACCAGTGATTGATTGTTATTGCTTTTAAATATCATTTTAATTTCAGTTTTAATTGATTTTTTCATGTCAAAATGGCATAATTGATGGAAGAGTTATATTTCCATGCAAATGTATAAATTGTTTAGCTTTCAATTTCATCTTTTATTGTATTTTCTTGCTACAACTTTTATGCTTATGTTGCATGTTAATGTAATGTAATAATGAAGGTAATTTTAAAGCTGTTAATAGGCAATTAACGCCTTGACCTGGTCACGAAATTAGAGATTTATTAACTCATCTTTTAAAGGTGATAATGATTATGGTGAAGGAGGAGATCATTTAACCCAAAATATCTACTGCAAAAGCAATCAAGGAGTGTCTGGTCAATTTTTGGTGCAACCTTTTGGACATGATTGCAACAATAATCAACAACAAACAGATCAACTTCAATTTTTAATATCTCTCATCACCTGCCTTTACATTGAACAATAATGGATCACTTATAGTCTAATAAAGGACAAGGTTTGGTTATAGGAATCAATGAAACAAATTTTGGACAATTAAGTCTTATTATTTGAAATAACTTAATTATTTCCTATTTACATAAATTTATAAACTGTTGCATACGAAAGAAAGTGATAAAGCTGTAAAAACTATAACGAGCAGGAGCAATTTGAAATGGTTCTTGATAATTTAATGACTAATCTTTCAAGTTAAACATGGATCTGACAATTGTGAGTTCATTTCAAATTGCTTTCACAAAGGATTTATGTGTGAATGGAGACTCCATCTTTTGGCTTGATTTACAACTATTGGATGGAAAATTTGGAAATTCAATTTTCAATATTTTCTCCGCATTCGTATCTAACAAAATCTAATATATGAATACCATGTTGATCACAAAATTCTGCAACACTGAGACTTGGGTTTACGATGGTTTTTTGATCCAGTAAATATTCTGAATCTTCCGGTATTTTATATCCTTGTTTCATCAATTCTTTCTCTTTAGCTAAAACTTCTTCAGGTTTTTTAAGATAAGTTGGATTCAATCCGACAATTTGTTGACAAACAATTTTCCCCACATCATCGAATGTATAATTAACTGGTTCCTCCTCCCCAAACTCGATATCATACTCTTGATTGTCAATTTCTTCATCAGTTAATTTTCTTTCCTTTTGATCTTCCACGCCAGAGTCATTTGATTGTTTCTTCGTCACAGGCTGGGACTCAGCAGTTTCAACTTTGGGCAATTCTTTTCGTTCTTCATTTGGTAACTGACGTGCAACAATAACGGCTCCGTATTTTCCTAATTTAACACTGTTGATGTCAGCGATGGATTCTCCTGAAGCATGGACATAGCTAAACAAGTGAAGATCCTCTCTTTGAGGTTCAGTGAGTTGTAAAATTAACCCTCTTGAAACCTTGATATTTTCACCTAATTGTATCACAGCTTGTGACAATTGTTCATTGAAAAACTTTAAATCATCTGGCCCGAAAACATTTTTTGTTGCCAAATTTGTATTAGGTAAAATTGATGGTGATGGTTTATTTGTTGTCGGGCTAAGTAAAGATGACGTCAATTGGGCAACTAATTGTTTGAAATTTTGATTACGAGCAACAAAGTCAGTTTCACAATTAACTTCTAAAAGAGCACATTGTTTAGACTCATGATGCATAAAAAGTCCAACTAATCCTTGAACAGCTCGACGAGACTAGCATTGTGAAATAAAACAGAATAAAAGAAGAGTTAAAATGATTGAAAGAGAAAATAAAATTATCAATTTACCTGTAACTTTTGAATTTTAGCATAACCATGTTTAATGCTTTCCTCTTTAAGATACAATTCAGCAGCATTTAAATCATTGTTGTGCAATTCCAAAGCTTTTTTACAAAGAACAAACGCCAACCTGAGACAAAATAATTAAAATGAGATCAAATATTACAATCAAATAATTTGAAAAACAAACTCAAAATCGACAATAACAAACTGTACCCAGTTTTTTTACGAAGCTTTGCTAAATTAGAATCCTTTGTTGAAGAACTAAAGCAGACAATCCTAGTAAAATTAAAACTAGGCAAAGTAAGAATTCGAGGTAAATTGAAATTCAATTGATAAATCATTACAATCAAGAAAATACAAAACAACTTAAGGGTTTAAATTAAATTGAAAACAAACAAGACAAGAAAAGTGTTAAAGAAACATGAAAAACACATGTAACACATGGTTTACCAATAAACTTTCCTCAAACTAGATGGAGTTGTAATCGAAATAACGGTTTTACGGGCAAACTGGGAAACGTCCATTTTCATCGCAATAGATGGCGTTGATAGTTTCCCTCCATTTTCGGTAACTTTTTTTTCACCAAAGGAAAGATAATCTTTCTTTCGCGCAGTGTAACTCAAGTTTGTTAGTTTGTTTAGTAAACAACTTTTTTTTTGTATGTTCATTCGAGTGCTCAATTGAAGCAAATAATTGTCCCAACCCACTGGCAGCAAAAAAACACACAACTTATACGAACGCTTTGTATTTATTTAGCTTACTTTTTTATTGTGCTGTGTGTGTTCACTTCACCCTATGAGTGGATCTCAGTGTCTTTACATGTACCAAGTTTAGTGTCACCTATGAAGCAAGATAAATCTATTTGTTTGTGTTTAGTCTTCAAACAAGCATCACCATGATTTCAACTTGTAAATTGGACCCAAATTACAAGGTAAGCCTGACAATCTATCTCTCTATCACAATTACCAAGTTAACAATTTAACCAGTCAAGTCTTCCCTCACAAAATTCATCTCGTTAGACAAGAAGACAAAACTTATTCAACTCTTTGCTGTCAATTCTTTCCCTTTTTTCCTCTTCTTCCTTAACCGGTCTAGATTTCAATCTTAATTAACTTGTTCTCGATTGATTGGTTGACTAATTGTTTCAATTTTCATTCGTATACCTTTCAACCTTACATAGTATATACATTTTCAACTTATAACCTAACCAGTGATAACCTAGACATAACACAAAACTGGCAAAGTTATTTCCAACTTTTATTTATTTACATTTGTAAGGTTACATTTTTTTCTTCCTATTTTTTTATAATATCGGCTTCAGTTGTTGTTTATTACATCAAGTTACCTGTAAAATATCTTAACAGTATACAGCAAAGGAAAACAAGTTGAAAGTAAATGATAGAAGCAAAAAAAAAGATAAACTTCATTTACTTCGTTCATTTTTCTCCATCATATTGTATAGTTAATTATTTTTTTTGCCTTTGCTTTTTGTACTTTACCTTGTACCTTTTTTTGTTGCTTTTGCTTACAATTTTTACTACTTTTTGTCTGCTCTTCACTTTACTCATTAACTTTTACCTCACTAATGGTTACTCATTTTCAAATGAAAAGGTATCGAAGGTCAATTTTTCAAAATCAACTGCAACTCAACAGGAGAGAGAGAGAGGGTTAACACAGTTTCAAGAAAAATGTTGCCCACAAGAGAGGAAGAAAAATGAAGAGAAAGTTGCAAAGGAACAAGAAAAATCAACTTTCAATTGTTATTCATTTGCAAAATTAACTCCCACAACCCTTCATGATGTCTTTTCAACTTCACTTCACTCCTCCTTTCACCATCACATCTTGACTCTTCACCCTTTCCCTATCATCCATCTTTTAACACTCATCTTCATCTCTTAACCTGTTCATTACCTTTCCATTGTCTTGACTTGTTCACAAGTTGTACATCATTTGCAGAGCAACACTGAAGAGTACAAAAAAAGGGCACAAAAAACAGTCTTCATTCAAATAACCTTTTCATCTGATATACTTTTTTTTAACCATGTTACTTGAACTTGTTGATCCATGTTTTCATTTCCTGTGTCAATTGTGACTCCTGATGAATTTTCAGGGTAACAGGAAAAAAAAGAAAGGATCATTACTCTGTTTAGATGAATAAGATGATAGAGTCAAAAAGTACACAAAATTACAAGTTACTCATTACATTTTAGTAACATCTTCAAGTGAAAAAAAGTAACGAAAAAAAAAACGACAGAGTAAAAGGTAAATAACAATGGATTTTGAACACTTTTAGAAGAAGAAGAAGAATGACTAAGAATGAGTTCCACACCTATTTTCATTCTCTTCCTTTCTCTTCCTCTTCTCATCCTTCTCAACCTTTTCGTCTGTGTGGGTTTCTCAGCATTTGCGTCCATCTCTTTGACTCTCTTCGGGTTTGTGTTACTAGAAGCTCGTGAAATTGAGAAGAGATGATGAACCAAAGGTAAGGGTAAGAAAGTATCTAAAGTAGGTATGAACAGGTAAAAAAAGAGAGAAGAGCCGATAACGATATTTAGCCAAGTTTAGTGTTTTACCTTTACCTTGCTTTTTACCATTTCTTACCTTTTTTATTTTTAATGTAACTTCACTTTTTCTTGCTCCTTTACCGCCCAAGTTGTCTTGAAATACTTTCAAATATATACACTTGAAATGTGTATATCAATTGACCCTTGGCAAGCGTAGGAGCTGGATAAGCTTGTAATAATAATGGTTTATAATGATGAAGATTATTTTCTTGAGTTAATTCATTTTCATCTTAATCATGACATTGACTTGGAAATGATTTGTTATTAGGTTTGGTTTTGCAGTTGTATAACATTTTACTGTTTGTTGTTACCTTCACTTTTACCAAATAAAAGATGAATGAGTGTGAAGCATTTGGTTAGGGCCAATTACATCTCATCAGTTATCATGATCATCATAATGATGATGATAATCATTGCAACAATCATCTTTCTCACCATTAGAAACAAAAAAAGTGAAATTAATTCACGATAAAATGATTTGTAGACTAAAGTTAAAATGAAATTCAATTACAACAATATTTACCTTGTAAATTAACTAACTATCAATTTAATTTGTCGAACATCATTTTGACTTCTTGTCTCTACTGATTTAATTTTACCTTTTTATTCATCTTCTCTAGTCGTGCTCCTCATCTTTCATCTTAAATTTGTATTCCAATCTTTTCCTCTTCATTTCGTCTTAATATTATTTCAAAAATGCTGATAAACTTCATTTCCATTCTTACACTTTCACTTACCCGCATCATCAGCATCATCATTTCAATTTTACCTCAAAATTGAATTGAAACACAAAGCAACAATACTTGGTTCATACGGTAACAGCAAATTGCTGTTATTGAAAAGGCTTTTTGAAAGGTTGGTTACAAGTTACAAGTGATCAACGTCTTCATCTTCATCTTATACCTTACGGCTAAGTTATCATTCATCATTTGATAATGGCAATTTAATAGGTAAACAATAATAATAATAGTTAATTGTTATTGATCAAAAGAGATTCACTTTGAGAACAGCTTACAAACACTCAAAAGAGGTAACACAATTGTCAATGTGTATAATGCATATAATGGATGATATTACAACAAAACCAGAGGCAAAAGTTTATAACAAGGTAAAGGTTAAAATTTGGTCATTTGGTCGATAAGTTAAAGATGATGAAGATGAAGGGCAGAGTACATGATAAAGTGAATGAAGAAGAAGAAGAAAATAGATGACCAAAGATGTTACAAGACACAACATGTTTGACCATTTGACTTTGGTCAAACATCATCAATTGAATTATACTTTTTTTTCTTGCTTGTTCAATAAAAAGTTAAGAAGCAAATTGACAGACTAAATCGATCGGAACAAATCAGGATAACCTTCAATCTTAAGACACTGAATGAGTTTTTATCTGCATAACAAGAAGTACACCATTCTTAAGACATTTCATCTTCATTTCTCATCCTCATCTAAAAGTGTTGCTACTCTTTGTTATAATATATTCATCGATTTTGCAAGTATAAGGAAGATGGATTACAACTTTCCTCTTCTCTTGTCATCAGATTCACTTGCAATTGAACAGATAATTTGATCAATTTTCATGTTTACAACAACTGAATAACTGAACAGATGAGAAACAAGATGAAAATTCTTGAAAAAATAGCGAGCTTTCACTCTCGACCTGAAATCAAACGTTAATTTTTTACCCAATTTAGTTATCGTTATTAATATTGTTTCATATTAAATGTACTTTTAATTATGCTAAATGTTGACTTGTTAATTAATTGCTATTGTTGATCAACATGATGAGCCAATTAGCCTTAATTGATTTACCCAAATTCAGGTAGCAACAAAATCCTTTTCATCTTGTTAAGGATAATTGTGGAGATTTGATTGAGGCTAAATTGCAATTTAAAAATACATATTCCATTGAAAATTGTTTCACTTTTATTGTGACAATAAAATTGGAAAGCAATTAACCTTGTCAAGTGCAATATTAAATTGTTGGACAATCAATTTTTTCTCGTTAAAATCTTTTTACAATTACATGTCATTTTAAACTTGTATAACTATTTTGATTATCATCACAATTAACGATTCAATTGCCAAATGACAGTTATCCAAGTTTTTTTCCTAAATTATATTTACTTTTAACTGAAAACGTTTCAATTTTATTCTGACCATTGTTTTGCTTTTTATGTGATCCATTGATATACAGCCTTTTCAACGTAACATACTTCAAGGTATATAACAATAAATAACAATGTTAACATTTGTTTCATTGCATTTCCTTTTCCTGGTCACTGCCTGAGGCTGTCAATTTTGTCTGAAGAGTGGAAGGGAAAAGGAAAAAAATTGCAATCTTAAAAACTGTTTTTACCTGTAAAGAAAGAATAGCAATAAAGGTTAAACTGACCAAGGGACTGGTGAAGGGTGTAAAAATGAAATGACCAAAATGATTACATACATTTCAAGGGAATGCAAATGGATAAGAATAGGTTATAATTTAGAGTTATCATTTGATGACCTTTTTCTTGTGGTTTTAATGGTCAATCAGTGTTTAGTTGATAAATGATCCTTTCACTGAATCCCAATCAATTTAAAGGTGTTGGGAGTAACATTTAGTTTTGATCACTGATTAACCAGTGTTAATATTCAAATTAATGATGTCTCCATGAAAAAGGCAACACACATTGAAATCAGGTTAATCTCATCTGGTAAACATGGCAATACGATTGTGTTAATATCATTGATTCAACTTTTCTTGACGAGTTTCCCATCATCATAAATTATCTTCATCAAAGTGTCATGTAATCAGTGATTCAATTTTCAACTCACACTTTATCCCGGCAATACGAGTATAAACAAAAGGTAGAAACTCTGTAAACATTGTAAACATTTACAGGTAAATAATAGGAGAAAAAATTGATTTGATTTATACTTTTTTTTCCTTGATAACAACTTGATAACCCAAATATAAATAATAATGTTAGTATGACAAGTTTGATAACAAGTAAGGGACTCAACTAATCCATTTTATTATAACTTAATCATTTTGGGTATCAATTGATGAATGATGAGAAAGGCAAAAAATTAGGTAAAAATTAATCAACTGTTTACCTTTGATCATGTTGATCGAGGAAATGATTGAAATGCATTTTCTTCATTTGATTTTCATAACATTTGTCATTCCCTTGATTCAATGATCTCTGTCAATAATTGCGACTCTTGATTGTCACAATTTGATTGTTTCAGTTATCCCATCAAGTTTATAAATAAACAATTTATTCAATTAATTTCTTGTATTCAAACGTTTGAAGGAACACAAAAAAAGATGAACAAAAGGAAGACAAAAGATTAAGAGGATTTACAAAAATGAAAGGTTAAG